GTACCACAGTCACATTGTGGGGATCAATGATGGGTCCCAGCAAATTCTGTGACCCAGTTGAGAATTTCAGCATTGCAACAGCTAATGTTGTTTTCTTTTTAGACATTCTGTATCTTTATAGCAGCCAGTAGACAGACTGTACAGATGTTGAGCTAGCGATGCACACACTGACCATATGTGTGTGTGTGTGTGTGTGTGTGTGTGTGTGTGTGTGTGTTCAGCTCAGCCTCCAACTGATCTCAGGACTCCAGCTCTCTCTGTTATTTCCCTCCAGTTTGTATCCTTGTTCTTTTATGAAGCAGATTAATACAACCCTGGGATAAGCACAGTTTTTTGAATAATCCATCCAGCTTTGTGCAGATGCCTTTCTTTAATCTGTAAACAAACAATGAATAAATAGTTACTCAGTGATCTTTTGACATGCTGGTAGGTGGGTGTTACCTTCAGATAGAGCCAGGCTAGCTGTTTGCACCTGTTTGTGCTGAGCTAAGCTCACTGCCTGTAGCATTATATTTAATGGACAAACAAGACAGTGGTATTGATCTTCCTAACTCACTCTTGGCAAGACGGTGCTGAGCCAAAATGTTGAACTATTTCTTATACAGTATACTATGCTATATAAACACTATGCTATCAAACAAACTCTTCTAAGGTCACGGATTCTGATGGGTCACATAATTTGGTGTAACACCCGTCAAACCAACAAGCAGTGACTGAATCCTGACCTCTCTCCAGTCCACAGTGCTTTGCTGTGTGCCTCTGTTTCTTTTCTCTGTCTCTCTATGTTATATCTCAGTGCTGTCAATAGACTATCTCTCTCCCTGACTCTTTCTTCCTCTGTGTACCTGTTCCCACCCCCTCTATACGCCTCTTTACTTTCATTTCCCTCCAAATCCACTCGGCCACGTCACACACCAGTAGAGCACACTCTGCTCTTATTGCTGTAGCAAAGCACTGCAGTCTGTTACATCTTTCTCTCCTTGCTCTCGTGTGAACTTTTTTCCTCCCCTGGAATCTCTTTCTGCCTCTCTTCCCTCAGTTTCTCCCTCTGTAAGAAACTAATTTCTTGCTGCTTCTCTTTTCTTAGACACTCCAGCTACCCCCCCTCCTTTTCTCTGTGTCTTCATCCACCCTTCAGTCCCTGCATCTTCATCTCTGCCTGTGTGAACTCTCCACCTCCTCCTCTTTCTTCTTCATCCCTCTTTCTCTCCATCTGTCTCCATCCCTCGATCCCTCTGCTTCTGCATTTTACACCTGTCTCTTTCCTTTCATCCTTCTTCTTCACCTGTCTGCCTTGCACATCATTGCCTCCTCCTTTTCTTCCTGCCTATTTCTCTCCCTCTTTCCTGTCTTCCTCTTACCATGTGATAGGATTAAGGCCCCATCTGTCTCTCTCTTTTTAGAATTTTCTTTTGTCGTTTTTGGTGGATTTGCTCTCATTTTCTTGTCATCATTTCTTTAATTTGCCAAATTTCCCTGCCTCTCTCCCTCTAGTTCTCTCTCCGTCTTTCTTTATGTCTTTCTCAAGAGGTGAGTGGAGGTGGTGATGGGCGGTAGTACTATCAGTATGCAGAGTCATGGTGCTGTGGCTCTGCCGTCATTGATTGAACCAGCAGCTAAATATAGACCCTGTTGAGGCTCAGCATCTTTTCCAAGCTGGAAGGAGGGATGGATGAGGGATGGTCTCTCGCACACACACACACACACACACACACACACACACACACAACCACACACACACACACACACACACACCTGTAAGCTAGTGTTAGAGAGTAAATAATAGATACACACATAATAAATCTGTTTACAATGAATGCATACACACAGCAGCAAACACACAAATGTTAACATTCACATGGATAATGTAAAGAATCACTCACACACACACACACACACACACACACACACACACACACACTTGCACAGACTTACAGACACTTCTGTCAGTATAGTCCCGCAGGGTATTTGGTTGTACAGAAAAATAATTCCATTTAAGTGAAGGAGGCGTAACGTGGTCTGACCTTTTTACACATTCATAACAGAGAGCTGCTGGGAAAAATATTTATGGAACACACATACACACACACACACACACACACACACACACACCAACAAATCGACAGTAACTCATTCTTTTCTGGACAGATTGCTGTAGGCTAAAACAACATGACAAACAATTACTATTCAACACGCAGCATAAATCCAGGGCTTCAAGCCTCCCCACAAGCTGAACAGAGAGGAAGAAAAAAAGCTGCAGACAGACTGAGAGAGCCAAATGGAGGGCTAGACTGGCAGGATGACAGACAGATAGAGAGACAGTAATTTGGCAACTCAATTATAACCCAGACAGACAGGTAAAGTGAGAGGCAGACAGGTAAACAAACAGCCGGCTAAAGAGATAAGCAGGAAGGCAACCAGAAAACAACGCCCCCGTGATCCAGAGGATTTTACGCAGATTAAATTCATCTCGAGAACGTGTTTCTGGACCAGCGTCAAAACGCCTGCTGTGTCATAGGATATGTTTGTGGGCCTCATAAAGAAAAGCTTGGTTGATAAATCACAGATTAGTGTTGCTTCATTGTCTGGACAGTACTGTCTGAAGAACAGTTGGCATTTCTAAATATTTCTTTGGCTTTCATCGCTGCAGTTTTGTATCTTTTTGTCACTGTTACTAAATTGTGTTTTATGTAATTGGATAGCAAATGAGAACTGAAAAGATTTTGAGAATAAGTATTATTTCTGTGTTAATATGTTTTTATAACATACTTAGTATTTACTAACTGATTATGATCTAAAGTGAAATGGGATTAAGAGATGAGATTACTATTTCAATTCCAAGTTCTGGTTTACATTGTTAGACCTCAAGGATACACAGTTTTGGTGAATGACACTGAATGTAAATATAAGTTTTGTTTGTTTACAAGAAAACTAATGTACACAAAAGGCATTTTGGCAAACATTTAAATATTATTTACATTTATTTCTAGCTAAATCTCCAGCCAGCAAAACTTGCTAATTTAACTAAACTACTCTAAAAAACAAAGTTTACTGTCATGCTAGCACAGTGGTGGTCTGAGCTAAATGCTAAACAGAGGATTAGAATGCTAACATTTGCTAATTAGCACTAAATATAAAGTACAGCTGAGCCTGATGGGAATGTTATTAGTTGTGCAGGTATTTGGTCAATACTTTGTACCTGATGATGACCCTAGGCGAAAAGTCACGATCCATTCTGTGGGCGGCATGAATCCATCCAATAGTTGTTGAGATATTTCAGTCTGGATTATATAAATACTGTCAATGGTCCGGACCAAAGTGGTGGACCAACTGACCAACTGGCAAATCTCTAGAGCCGAGCCTAGCATGGCTTAAAACAGGAAGACAGCAATTAAGGCAAGATATGTGTTCCACTGTAGGGCTTCTACAGTAAAGCCATGTGCTTTAATAACGTAAAACTCCCAAACTACAGCTAAGGTGTGACTCTTTTTGTTGTAAAGCTGCTGTAAAACCTGCTAGTGAAAGAAGCAGAGTGTGCTCTATTGGTGTGCAATGTGGCTGACAGGATTTGGGGGTAAATGAAAGGTAAGTGGCGTAAAGAAGAGGTGAGAACTGAGGAAGAAAGAGTCCGAGAGAAAGAGTCTATTAGCACTATTAAGATGTGACAAAGCTCTGCCTTCAGCCTGCAGTATAGGCAAATAGTGTTTAAAGTGTGAGACAAACAACACTGAAACATGAAGTCAGGAGGAATGAGAGTGAGAAACAGTGACAACAGTACAGAGTACATGAGTTTCATCTCATTCTTTCACACGTTGTTTATATTTCTGCATGTGTTTCAGACCGGTGCAGTTTCTCTTTAATTTGTGAGTCTTCTTCCCATCATGACAGACATCGCGGGATTCATTTTTATGAATATGTGCCAGTATGCAGGATGTTAGAAATAGAAATCCAGAATATCAAAGGGAACGCTGTATGCACATAATCTTTAAAAGATCAGTGTGAAATTATTTGTAAATGCTAAAATTCACCAAAGAACATCTTCAGCATTGATGAGATAAACCTTGTGCGTGATACACAGCTGTTCTTTGATGGGATCTGAGATGTTGAGCCAAACATTAGGTGAATATTTTACTGAGTCAAAGCATCTAACCATGTCTAACCATGTCTTTTCTTAGACAGCATGCAAAGACAGAGCCACTAAGAATGGGATTCAAACACACAACCTGTCCCTGTAACTCAGCTGCAACAGATCCTGGGTCTGTTGGAAACACAGCTATACCATTTAGCTTATTCCTGTCTGGCTCTGCTCCTGTATGGCAACAGTGGGGGTGTGCAATATGACGGAGCCGCTGCCAATAATAAAGCATTAGCATATTGAACTGAACTGATAAAACTGTCAATCACACAGAAGGCTCCACAGAGACAGTTTCCCCCCTCTATTGTTCTTTTTTCTTTCCTTTCCACTGTGCTCCTTATCTATATGCTTTGGCAGCACACAGTATTTCACATATGGAAAATAATTACAAGAATTGAAGAGACATGAATAGAAAATCTGGAAGTAAAAATCACAACTTTATGTTCCTCAGGTTCTCCTGGGATTTATGTGCACAACGGAGAATTTAGTGGGAATTTAAAGCAATTTCATGTTATTTTTGATCCCTTCTGTCATCATACTTTACTTATTGCTGCTATTTTAATAAGCTTTTTAAATATATTGCAAAGAGAGGGTAAATAATAGCTGCTGGTTACAAGTTAAATTATATTAGCCTATTTAAAACATGTCATGCATTTTCTCTTTTCTTCCCTTGAAATTACATTTTAACTCCCAGTTTGCGGTCTTAATCATTTCAAGCAGGTCCAAAAACTCTTTTTATGAACGAAGTTGTTCAACATTGGTTTCATCCTCCACTCTAATGGTTCTATTGAAAAGACTGATTGCAAAAGATGAGCAGCCAGATGCAACACCCGTCCTCCTCCTCCTCCTCCTCTTCCTCCTCCTCCTCCCCTCTCCCCGCTCTCCTCATCCATCCATCCACGCTTCCTCTCCTGTGCTGCTGCTGGACGGAGCGTTAGGAGCGCGCAGGAACGGTACCAGGGCTTCCCTTCAGACTGATGGAGACTGGCTGAGGAGGAGAGACCAGGTCCGGCCGGCAGAGACCACCTCGAAGACCCCTGCAGGAAGGACTCTCCCGCTCCCGTTGCCGTGAGAGCCGGAGAAACGAGAGGGGAGACACGGGAGGTAAAGGGGGCCATTAATAACCTGTTGTTTGTGTGTTTTTTGTTTCTCATTTGAGGGAGAAAGCGCGGTGGTCGCGGCCGTCGCAGACAAAAACACAAAGATGGATATAAAAGCGACATATAAACCCTTGTTGGACTTGATTGGATCGTTTTAATGAGGATTTTTGGAAAAGAAGACTGAGAGAGCATGTGTATCCTCCACTGCTCATCCGTCGTGTTTTTCGCCTTTAATTAATCCCAATTTCTAATTCTCACTCGCGCCTGTGAAGTAACACGTGAGGTTAATTGTTTAGGAGTTAACGCATATATCCCAATTATTTATTTCCCGGTTAGGCCCCCATTTGTTGTCTGCTAGAGGTTGTGAAATCAAGTGATTTTTCGGACCCTTCGTGTTTATTTTAATGTGATATAAGTAAACAATAGAAACAGCAGTGTGATATGAGACTGCAATTCAATTATGGTTCGCTGGCTGGAGCCTTTTAATTTAGAGGAGGAGTGCTGAGAGCGCCGCCTCTAGTCTGGAGAGGGAACGTCTGCAGACGGCTCTGTATGTGAGATGAATTGGCATCAGGATTTGATTTAAAACCTTTAGTCAGTCACAGTGTTTATACTCTCTCTGTGCAGGAGAGTTCTGTGTTCTTCTGCCTCCACCCGGATGAGCCCAAAGTGACAGAGATGAGATGAGAACCTCCTCACATTATCTGATCCTGCCACTTCCCACACAGCTTTAAAATAAAATCTCAGCTTAAAACCAAAGCAGTCGAGCTCCTGACTGACTGAGTTGCTTCATATTTTGTAGGCCAGAGCTAAAACAAAATGCAACTCTCAGGTCATCAGAGGCCACAGCATGTGTGTGGTGGTGACAGAGCTGAATTGTGTGGCAGAATGTCCTCAAGCGTCTGTGTAACCACACAGGTCCGCACAATAGATGAGCTTTTATTGTGTGTGTGTTTGCATATGGAACAGTGTCAATACCCATTTATATTGATCGCGCCTGTAACAATAACATTTTCCTCAACAGTTCCCTGTTGACTGGAGTTAATGAAAGCATGTTATTGAGCCACGTTTCAGCTGCTGTAATGAAAGAAGGTAGACCTTATGAGAAGTGTTTAAATACACTTTCGATTGTGTTTAATAGCGGGTGAATAAGCTGCTGCATGACAGAGCTGAATCTTTATCGATTAGTTGATCCACAGATAAATGATTAGCAACTATTTTTATAATCGATTTATGTATTTCTCAATGAAAATTATCCTTGATTGCAGTCGTATGAATAAATAAATGATAATAAACGCAGTGAATTTCACCTGCTGGCATATTGGTTTTTATTGGTTACTTTGAATGTCCCAGAATTAAATAGTTAATTAAGAAGCTTTATGTGAGCTCATTAATTTAAAACAACTTTACTGTTTACTGTCCTGGCTCATTATCCTGCTAAACTACAAGTCTAATCAGGCAGATCACTACTGTAATATATCCTGTGGGGCTGCAGCTAAGCATTACTTTCATTGTTGATTAATCTGATGATTGTTTATTTATGTTATTCTTCAACAAATTGTTTAGTCTATAACATATCAGAAAATAATGAAAAAGGCCCATCAAGCCCTAAATAAAGTTTTGAGGTTGCTTGTTTTGTCCAAATTGAATTCAAAACCCAGAAAGATTCTGTGTAAAAAGTTAGAAAACAGAAAAAAAACATTTGAGATGCTTGAACCAGTAACAATTTAGTATTTTTTAGCTTAATTGATCATCAAGATTGTGGTCGATGAATCTTCTGTCAGTTGACTAATTGATTTTCTCTTCTACTTTGCACAGTGTTGTATATCGCAGTGCCTGCTTATTGAATGCAGAGCTGCATTGTCGCTCACCTTGTCTGTCATCCAGTCATGCATCCATTGTCACTGTTTCTCTCATTTAATATGCCTCTCACACGCAAACATTCAAACAGCAAACTATTTTTCTCTGGGGTGTCTAACCTTGACTCTTCTGACTTTCAGTGAGGCACTGACAGATGTTATTTTGTAATTCTATCGCTGCCTCTTTTTTTACATGTTAATTCTGTTTCTGCTTCTCTTTTCCCTACAGATCCTCCATCATCTGAAGGTCTCCTGCCTCTCTTACAGTGCGTGTTGTGGTGATTGTGTTTAACATGCACGCTCCCAAGAGTGTGTAGTTTGAAGTGTCAAGAGTAGTGTTTATTGTGTGTGTGTGTGTGTGTGTGTGTGTGTATACTTAAGCACAGAGATGGGCTCGGTGGGCGCGGAGCGCCGCAGGCCCACGCCCGTCCTGACGCCCGAGGAGAGGGATGTATGGAGGGATGGAGGAAGAGCTGGATGGAGGGATGTGGGGAGGGAGGGATTGAGAGAGGGAAGAGAGAGCGGGGTGGTGCAGAGCTACAGCTTCGACTCGTTCCAGCTGGAGGAGGAGGAGATCAGTAAAGACGCCCCGGAGCGAGGAGTGCTGGCTCTGTCCGAGCCCGGTGAGGGACTTTCTATTCTGACTATCTGTGTGTGTGTGTGTGTGTGTGTGTGTGTGTGTGTGTGTGTGTGTGTGTGTTTTATAGACAAGGAGCAAAGAAAGAAGGGAGGAAAGAGATGTATCAGTAACAACAATTCATCAATGTGAAAAAGGAGACCAAACAAATATCTTTATTCTACTTTCAAACATCAGCAAAACAAAGTATGTTTAGATAGATAGATAGATAGATACATAGATAGATAGATAGATAGATAGATAGATAGATAGATAGATTCTGTATATTTGGGACTCATTATATGCAAATAACACCCTTTTTGTAGGTTAATAAGAGACCACAGTAGAACCACCCTGCATTACATGTTTATAAACTAGCCTATATATGTCAGTCAACCGCTGCCATGGGAAACACCCACCCACAGGACTGAAGCCATTATTTCCACAAATACGTCCATAAATGGTTTTAAAGTCTGTTAAAAATTTTCTATAGTGTAGATAGAGATGTAGTAGTCTTATTGTAGCACTCTTACCAGGTCTTGTCAATTCTATTATTACATAGCTACATATTCAATTATTATTGATGTTAAAGTCAGTCAAAAAAGTTTTTTGCTGAGAAAATAGTATATATAGGTATTACATTGGCATTTGTTTTGTTATTTGGTGGGGCATGTGAGTTTAATTTTATTTTTCTACAGTGATATCGCCGCCTACATTATTGTTCCCCAGGGAGCGCACATTTTTGGCTCCGACTGATGTCGTCTGTGCTGTAATGTGATTGGAGCAATATATGTGTGCATGGGCACTAAAGTGGACAGTTTTCCAGGTGGCAGACTGACTTCATGATCTGTGATTTGAGCACTTCCTAAGTTACTCTGTGACTCCGCAGGTTATGTACTCCATGTCATGAATCGAATTATAAACAGTCCTAAAGGCTACAGGACTAATCGTTGATGTGAGTGTTGACAGTCTGGACCCATGACAGAGAGACAGCTAATGCTAACTAGCCCCCCTCCTCTGTATAATGCACAACAAACACGGCCCAGGAGCTGCTGAAGATTCAGCACGTGATAAAATGATATGAACAAAAAGAAATGTCTAAATGCTAACATTAGCAGGTTAAGGTAACTAGCGTCACTTTAAAGGTGGAGTAGTAGCAGCTAGGTAGCCCAGCTTGCTCTCTTCCCCTTTTCTGGGCAGTTGTGTCCTTAATGTTGAGCCTCATAAAGGAACAGATGTCTAATGAACATACAACACGATACATAAACAAAGCTTGTTGAAAAAAGATGAAAAAAACATCTTGTAGTTGACACCGTGTCTCCTAGCAACACCGCATTTAAATGTCAGTCAACCGCTGCCACGGGAAACACCCCCACTCAGAGGATTGAAGATATTATTTCGACAAATACGTCCATAAATGGATTTAATTTTGAAAAATAGATAGATAATAGCTGCTGTATCAGTATAGTTTATATTCCCTTACACTGATGGATGAATGTGAGGAGAATTCAAATTTCAGTTCCACTTTAAAAATGTGATAAAAGTGACAACAAATAAGTCTGGCTGAATTCAATGAAAGACAGTGTGTGTGCATGTGTTTGCAGACAATGATGGAGGCTGAGAGAACAAAACCAGTGACAGGACGAGAGATCGAGGGAAGCTTATGTAAAAAAACAGGAGGCAAGCCTGTTAACAGAAAATTGCTGTGTTGCCTGGTTACTCAGGTTGTACAAAGGGCACGTTAATCAGATCACAACTGACCAAAGATGCACAGCGAGGGCCCTAGATTGACAAACGCTTCCTCTACTCCCAGTCTCTTCATGCTTTGCCCCTGTCTTTATTCTGTAGCTGTCAGTCTGCATATCTCAGTGTACAGCCAACAAAAGCTTTTTCCCTTCAATAAAAACATGACGGAGATGTAAAAAGGCAGAATTAAAGATTTAATTAATCCTAGCCTGTCATTACAGTCTCGCACCTGCACGACAATCAGTGGTTCTACGAAGGGACTGTACACAAATTATTAGAGGGCGAGAGAAGGTCAGAAAAGGTGGTGGTGTTTTATACAGATACACTTTGCCACGTGCAAAGGAAAACAGTCTGTATCTGTATCAGGGTTTTATTAAATATTGGTGACTCACTTAGAGTTTCATTAAGATATTAAGGTTTAAATCAGGTACACTATTAAACAAGTTGTACCAGTTAAACACCGTTATATTATTTCATCATGTTGTGGGGAAGGTGTAGCAGTTTTAAGTTAATATATAGATTATATTTTATATGCTCATAGATTATACACTCTTATACATAGTGTATAATCTTCTGAAAATAAGAATTGTTGTGTTTTTGTTGTGTTTTGTCGTTTTCTATCTATTCCATTGAGGCTGCACTGGCTCTAGATAGGGCCTATTGTGTTCCTTACTAGTAGAGAGGCTGTAGTTTCTACACACTTGGACGGCTGAGCTGTATTCAAATGTTTGCAATATGCAACTGCTAGATGCCACTGAATCCTGCTCACTGGTCTTTTAAGAGGGTTCAAAGAAAACAGCAAGAACCCTGGAAAGGTTTTTGCTTTTCGTACAAAGTGAAACATTTGCTGCAGCCTCATCACCCAAATCATTTTCGTACAGTCCCTAAACATGAATGTCACAGAGGGAAAATCCACCATTCAAATGTCAGTCACACAGTGTGGGCGGGGCTGCGCTGTCTTCTTCATTGGATTTTCAGGTAATGAGGTTTGAGTTTCTGCAGGCGGTTCTGTCTGTGCAGTCTTGCTGATGTTCAGTGCTCAACTACACAGTTTGCTTTATTCTGAACAAATCTGCTGCTGTAAGCCTGAACTGCTTCACTTCCTTTAGTGTATTTTCCCCTGAAACAACAAACCCAACAGAACAGCAGAAATGGAAAAGCTTCCTGGAGCTGTACTGTATGTTGTGTAGTCATTGTGGATTACTGGAGAGCTAAGTGTATCACCCATCAGCAGATGAACTGGAAAATAATTTATCAGTCCCAGCTTCCATAATAATAAATACAAAAATAAAGTGAAATAAATTCATATTTTTCCCCCTTTAGTCAGCTGTAGAATATAATGCTCAAAAATGATTTGGCACTGCTAATAGCAGGCTCGCAGGATTAGGAAAGGATTATGAATAGTTATATAAAGAAGCTGCACATCACACTTAAACCATGAAACTAAATCAGCTGCAGAACACAAAAGTCCAGTTTTCAACTGAAAGTACTCGGGCAGCTAGTCCACAATCAGCAGTTCCTCCGATCAATTTACCACCAGCACAATAGGAACACGGTCCTCTGCTGCATTAGCTGCTCCAACAGTGGATCAGAGGCGTCACTGCTGCTGCTGCAGCTTCATTCATCCTGATTAGCTTTAATGAAGATCGAGTTTGTTCGCTTCAGACCTAATTCAGATGTTTTGAAGTCATGTTTTATCCCCACTGTTTGAGAGTACTCTTAAAATCCTCTAACCCTTCACTCCCTCCTTCCCGCTCAGACTTTGAGGAGCCGATCCCTGACGACCGTTACCATGGCATCTACTTTGCAATGCTATTGGCTGGAGTGGGTTTCCTGCTTCCCTACAACAGTTTCATTACTGATGTGGACTACCTGCACCACAAGTTTAAAGGTATAAATATGCATGAATAAAACCCATGTGTGTGCTTACAGAACTGCATGAGTTTTACAGACACAAATGCACAGTTCCCAGGAGTCTCTTGGCTCTTGTGTGTGTTTCAGGGACGTCCATAGTGTTCGACATGAGCCTGACGTACATCCTGGTGGCTCTGTTGGCTGTCATCCTCAACAATGTGCTGGTGGAAAGACTCAGCATGCACACCAGAATCACTGTGGGTAAGTCAGGCAGGAACCAGCTCAAAGACAGAGCTCTAATTGTGAAGATTTTTCTCATTATGGGAGCTTCTGCTGTTACTATTATTTATTAATGGCCCTCTGGGAACCTTGAGGCTTATCAGGGCAGAATACGCAGAGCAAAAGTGGAAAGACATTATAAAGAGAAAAAGAAACATTATACTCTGTCATAATTCTCCTGTGGTTTTTATTGGTAAAATGTTTCAAACAAACTTTTCCAAAGACCATGAATTCACAAGGGGCTGTCTTTCCAGAGTGCCGCATATTCTGTTTTGCTTATGGCTTTTTGAAAAATCTTGCATCATAATCAGTTTTGTTTTCACCTTTCAAAACATTTTAAAGTGAACTTGCTATGCCGTGCATTTAACACACAAGTGTGTACATTCACTGTTTACTTCAGGTTTGTGGAGAAATTTAAATATAGTGAAAGTGATTCATTGAAAAGCTGGTTTTAAATCTACCACACATCTTTGCAGTATAAATAATTAAGAGACACTGATATTCGAGACCAACATTAAAACTATTAAAGTTGTTCAGCTACCCAGTATAATTTCTTTTAAAAACATTTTTATGCAAAATTAAAAAACTGTTCTTTAAAAATGTATCTCCCCCGAGGAGAAGTTTGATATTTCTACACATATACAGCATGTGAGAGCAAGGATCCAGCATCTTACCCTCTGCAGCTTAAAATAGCTCCGCTTGCATCCTTGAGGAAATACGTGTGTTGTCTGCTGAAGAGCTTGTCTCTAGAGTTAATAAACTCAGGAACGGACTTCAGATGAAAGCGATACTTTTTACATTTCTGACCTGTCAAATATGTGTTCAGTCAGGCAGTCAGAATGTGACCTGCTTCAGTGCTGTCTCCTCACTGTCCGTCCGTCTGTCTGTCTGTCTGTCTGTCTGTCTGTCTGTCTGTCTGTCTGTCTGTCTGTCGGTCCGTCTGTCTGTCTCTTTCTCTGTAGGTTACATCTTAGCTCTCGGGCCGCTGGTCTTTGTCAGTGTGTTTGATGTGTGGCTGGCGAAGTTCACCACCAGGCAGGCTTACATCGTCAACCTCGTGTCAGTGGGAGTGGTGGCCTTCGGGTGTACAGGTACTACTACTAATAATAATACCTTTCTATCTATCTATCTATCTATCTATCTATCTATCTATCTATCTATCTATCTATCTATCTATCTATCTATCTAAAAGATGCTATCTATCTATCTGACTCTGCAGTTCCTCACAGCATTTAAGTTACTTTCAGTTCATTGTTTTGTTTTGTTGGGCTGCAACTTTACTGCTCTATAAAAAAGCTCTAAAAACCTACAGTTCTCTACCTGCCCAGTGCCAAACCGACAAAATTAGCGACTGGCTGGTAAACATAGTGGAGCATTCACTAATTAAATGGCAGATATTTCCCTCAGTAGTTGGTAGAGACCAAAAACAGAGCTAAAAGTGAAGTTACTTTAGGTGATAATATGTTAGTGTTGGGTCTACAGCTTGGTTAAAAAGGGAAGGGTGGGCGCCCAGTTAGCTCAGTCGATAGAGCTGGTGCCAATATACGGAGTTGCTGCAGTGGCCCGGGTTTGAATCTGACCTGCGGCCTTTTGCTGTGTGTCATCCACTCTCTCTGCCCACCTTTCCTGTCAATCTTCAGCTGTCTCTATCAAATAAAGGCATAAAGGCCAAAATAACTTTAAAAAAAAAAAAAAAGAAGGGAAGGGTGATACAACGTGTCACTAAATCTTGCACACTGGACTTTAAACTCAAGTGTTACTTCATTTCACATCCAAATATGTTAATTGTGTAGAATAAGGCAAAATGAGGGTAAAACATAGAGCATGTACTAGTGATGTTGAATGTCATAGCACCATCATATTATGGATATACATTATGGAGAGATTTCTGCAGTGATATGGATAATGTTATGTATCAAAGATGTAGGTCTAGATTATAAATATAGAGACACACTTAAATATAATACAGCCTCAGATCCTACTGTACAGTATAATTCAAACTGCAAACTATCAGAGAGATCATATTAATTCGGGAGCTTAGATTGAATTGCACTACATACTACACTATATACACATATATAGAGAGAGTGTAATGAAAGCTTTTGGTGCTCGGGGTGCTAAATATCAGTCCAAGTTGTCAAATGAACAAGCAACAGTGTCAGGGCAAACACAGTAACGGCTTCAGCCCTCAGCTGCTGCTAATGACTTGCATACACAGAGCCAGTTTCCTTGTTGTTACTGTGAGTGTGAACATGGAGCCTGTCAGCCAGCAGAGTAACAGTTTAATTAGTGGAGGTCAGAGCGGCTTCTCTCAAGTGGTGTGTGAAGGTTCAGGAAGTTGTGCCTCTAAATAAATTGTATTGTTACAGTGTTGACTGTTAGGCACTGATAACCACTTCCTCATCCCTCCCCAGTGCAGCAGTCCAGTTTCTATGGTTACATGGGGATGCTGCCCAAGAGGTACACACAGGGGGTGATGACTGGAGAGAGTAAGTACACTCACACAGACACAGAATTGCACACATCCCTGCTATCCTTCTCATCTCCTCCACTTCCTCACTCTCTCTGTCTTCCTCTCCTGTGTTGTCACCCAGGTACAGCAGGGGTGATCATCTCCCTGTCTCGCATCTTCACCAAGCTGCTGATCACCGACGAGAGGAGGAACACGCTCATCTTCTTCCTCGTCTCCATCAGCATGGAGATGCTCTGCTTCCTGCTTCACCTGCTGGTACGCCGCTCCCGATTCGTCCGCTACTACACCAGCCACTCCCAGGGCAAAGGTCCGGGCAGATGTCACGACCCGCGTGACAACGGGACTGGATACCGGGTTCATCATGATGTCACTGCAGAGGAAGTAAGATTTGTAAGTTTGTGGACATTTTTTTTTGACTATATGGTGTGTATGTGTGCGTGGTGTATGCAAACAGTGACTGTACTGAATATTAATTTTTGGTCATGCTAATAGCGTGGCTTTATGGATAGCAATGTTGTCATTCAGACCAACAGTCCAAAACAATATCTAAATGAACAGATGGATTGCCTTTTTTTGTACAGACATTTATGGTCCACAGAGGATAAATCCTACTGACTTTGGGGTTCCCCTGACTTTTCATCTAGTGCCACCATAAGGTTTACATTTGTGGTTTGAAGTGAAACATTTGATGGATTGATGGAACTGTAATAACTTTGGTGATCCTTTAAGTTTTTATCCAGCACCTTCATCAGGTCAAAATTTTGATCTAATACTTTGGATTCCGACAAACACCTGCATGACATTCACATCAGCCTCAGCGATACCTTTTGTTTAGTGCTAACATGCTAAAATAATGTTGATGTTGAATATTGGTGTTTATCATTTAAGAGGATGTATTTGTAAAATGGAATTTAATAAACCTTACCTTAGAATGAGACATTTTTATCTACAGAAGAAGCGTGTCCTCTTCTGCGGAGTCTGCCACGTTGAACTGCCATGTTTATACAGTAGCCCAGAAGGGATAAAGCGAACACTGGCTCTGGCCTTTTGTCTTTTGTGGCTTCCTACATGGTTAAAAAGTGAGCAGTATTTAGTTGGTTGAAACTCAAACTTCACCATTAGATGGCAATAAATCCTACACACTGGTCCTTTAAACACTACTGGACTTAATGAATGAGTCTCTGTGGTACCCTACCTTCTGCTAACAACCCCACAATGCAATGCTCAGCATTTTGTAGATCCAGTGATGATGACAAAAATTGACAATGTAATTGAGGGTGTCTAACTTTTTACTGATCACTATAAATTAAACTGTTAAACTATAGTGTGTATATCACAAAGTAGTGGTAAATGAGTGAATGGAGTCTTGTTATGTTATTCTGCATCAACACGCGTCCGTCCATCCATCCATTAGCCTCCATTTTGCTTCGTCGTGTTTAGTCATGTTTTTAAAGTTGTATTGAGAGATCAATTATTCCGCCCCAGGTGGAGCAGCAGATTCTCTCATTAAAGTTTCTTGTACATGTTTCATGCATTAAAACCTTCATAAATGTTGCACCAACAAACTGTTTCTGAACTAAGACAGGGAGGAAATGTCAGGCCTCTAAGCTGTGGTGTCACTCCATTTCCTTGTTGATTTCTGTGAGCAGTGTGTGTCTCTTGCCTGACTCAGTGTGAGCGTGCACATAGGGATTGAGGGCTGTGTGTATTTTAAAATGCAGAATCATTTATTTAAGCTGCGGGCTGCTTTTTGGCTAGCACTCAGAAAGAGAAATATTGAGAGGAAGAAAGAGAAAGGGAATTTGGGAGGGGTTATTAGTCAGGACACTGAGAGGACAAATTGTTGGGAGAAAACTGTTGAGGCAAAGAGGTGAGACAGAAGGAGGAGACTCTCTCTGCAGAGAGGCAGCCAGCCATGGGGAGGAAGAGCAATAACCAGACTGCAGACCAGATGGTTTGTTACACAGAACCATCTGGGAAGTCGTTTGGAAACAGTTTGCAGAAGGGAAGGCACTTTCAAAAAAATACTCTGCAGGGGATTGGATGAACCATCTATCCATTACCGTCTAACTTCAACCAGACAGATCAATAAACCTTATAACACAGTAAAACTCTTACTGAGTTTTTTTCCATCAAGAAAAACCTTCGGTGCCGTTTTTTGCTCTTCTGTCAATGAAGGGATACTCTCCAGCTCTGACATAACTGATGCCAGCAGCAGCTACTCTCACTTTAGCAGCCGCTGCTGTAGTTTTCGAGCAAACAGTCACTTCTCACACACGTCATCACACACACCTTAGATTAAACCAAGTGATTAGACACAAGTGCATAGCTTGAAGCCTGGCAAGATAGATTCTCGTGAGTTTAGCACAGAAAAAAAAAACATAAAGAGATCAAAGAAAGGGCAGTCATCACAATGAGACAGAAGAGGATGTGAATCCACTTTGTACTCTTGCTTGAAGCAACACTTTGTAGCCTGAAGACATGGAGCTAAAATTCTTCATCACTCGGTGTGTGTGTGTGTGTGTGTGTGTGTGTGTGTGTGTGTGTGTGTTCAGAGCCTTTAAAGGATGACATATCACCTTAGGCTCTCATCTTTTCATGTGCATGTTTGTGTTTGTACGCCATTACGCAAAAGACAAGTATGTGAGGGACGTCCCTCTGTGTTTTACAGTAGTGTGTGCGTATGTGTAAGTCTGTCAGTGTGTGTGTGTGTGTGTGTGTGTGTGTGTGCTGTGTGTGTGTGTGTCTGTGTTTTCCTGAGTCTGGGGGCTGATTCAGGCAGCTCTTTGTTCTGGTTGCCCGGGGAAACCAAGGCAGCGCTCTATATTATGAGATAATCAAGAAGAGTAGTGCCTTCTGGCCCGCAAGTCTCTCTAATCAACTAATGGATTGGTGTCTGTGTGTGTGTGTGTGTGTGTGTGTGTGTGTGTGTATGCGTGCATGCATGTGTGTGTGTGTGTGCATAATTAATGGTACACACCTGTGTTCCTATGTGATGTGCATATGACCAAGTGTGTGTTTGGAAAGAAGCATGAGTTGAAGGGTGTGTCTATAGGTTTGGATGAAGAGGAAATGTGTGTTTGTAGGCTTGTGTGTGTGTGTGTGTGTGTGTGTGTGTGTGTGTGTGTGGGTGGGTCCTGGTCCACTCTGCAGTCTCTCCAACATCATTACGTCAACCTGCAACCTCTCACAGCCATCCTCTTTAATAGATGCTGCCATAAAAAGCTGATGTCATGCTGCCAGGAAGTAATTATTAATGAAAAAAACCTTAAAAGTTCAAACCAGTGCAAGAGAATGTGGTTATTTACTGTGTGATGGCTACCTCTAGTGCTTTCTTAATGAACTGTTAATGTCCTTCAAAAAGCCTTGAAGAAAATGAGGAACAAAATGATGATATTTACCCGTGTGATTCAATAATTGATAATTTGATTATACTGACAAAAAGTGTCCCCTGTGTGTGTCTCTCTTTAGGGAAACGGTGGGACCGGACCGTCCTCTGCAGAGGAAGGCGTTGAGGACAATGTGGGTGGGACGTATGTGCGATTTGACGCCCCGAAAGCCAGGATAAGGAAGAGCTGGCCCGGCGTCCGAGGTACTCTCTGTTTAAATCCTGTGTACTCACTTCCCAATTACCCTCTGACTCTAACAGATGGATCTGAAATTTAAATGCATCCCCTGGTGATTATAGGGAGGAAGGGAGTGTTCTTAGTGAATTAACCTGTGAGAGTTTGGGGGTTTTAAACATAACCCTGTGTGTTTCCTCTAACCAGACATGATCTTGCATCGTTACGTGGTGTCCCGTGTGATCTGGGCCTACATGCTGTCTATAGCAGTCACCTACAGCATCACTCTGTGTCTGTTCCCCGGGCTGGAGTCAGAGATACGAAACGTCACCTTAGGCGAATGGCTCCCCATCCTCATCATGGCCACATTCAACATGTCGGACTTTGTTGGCAAGGTGAGGAGCAAGTTTTTTGAAAGTAAAGGAGAATAAAAGATGTAACGATGCAACACTTCACTTCCTTTGTTGCACCTGTAAGGGCAGGCTAAGTTACACCTTTGTCTTTCTTATTGGAAGATAAGCACAATCCACAATCCCGCTAAGTGTGGTCACACAACGCTGGTTATCCGGGGGCACGGCCACCAACCAGTCATCCTCAATGAGGAGCACCTGAGAGAGAGTAGCAGAGAAAGGAGAGGGGGAAAACACAAGGGGAGCATGTAACAACAGCTTGTTTCCGCTGCCCCCAAGTGGATAAAGAATGACAGATTTTAGAATTGCACAATGAAGTCAGGTGTTTATACAAATAATATAATGTTATTTTCTTCATTTATATAAATGTATAGAGATTAAATTGGTAATCATGCTTATCATGATAATGTTAGTATACTAAAAATAGCCATATACAGTATAAATTGCTGATGCTTTTTCATAAAACCTGTTGATATTAAACTCAATAAATGTATTTCTGTCTTCACTACAAAGAGAGCTGTATTTATCTTTGATTGATGATCAGTTGTAGCGTCTTTTTAGGAGAACTATCTGCATAGAAAAACAGCTAAATGTATTTTTTACCTGAAAGACATTTTTCAACCCTAAGTAGTCTGCAGTCTTCCTCACAAACTGCATACAGGCCCAACCACCTCCACCAGGGAGGTAGGGGAACATTCGTTGCTTGAGAGAAGGTCTGTAAATCACTCGCTACTACTTGTAAAGCTTAAATGCTGTGAGTGCACTGTAATTACTCAGATGAACATTTTAATATATTAGATTTTGGCAGATTGACAGACGATTGAAAATTGTAAAATTGTAAAAGTAAAGGCGACAACAATAGTTATTTTTGATATTTTGATAATTCAATCCCCAGTGGAAATAACTCACTTGTGTATATAAGTATAAAATACACTTATTTAAATGGGATATCAACATTTAGTTTTATATTCTAACCTAATCTTTTTCTGCCAAAATTCAAGTAGTTCTTGGCAATCCCAAATATGTGAATGACCACCTTTCATTTCACACTTCCTGAGATTCTGGGAGTTAATTGTACATCAGGCTTCCCAGCAGTACAGAGGCAGGGAAGAGACACACATACACTGGAGTTGACCTTGTGGAATTGTTAAAGGAGTCGCTCCATTTATTAAATGTGAGAGTAAGGATGGAAAAAAAGCCTGGTTTATTTTTGGATAATTGCACTTAGCTTAAAGGCTTTATCTGAATATTCAAAAATGAATCTTTATCTGGTGTCCTGAAGTCATAATTTTGACTTTGAAGGGAAAAGTAAGTTATGTGCAAGTTGTTCTGATTTTATGCTTTGACTTTTTCCTCATGGCAAATTTAGCATTTTGTTGAAATGTGTGTGTGGGGGGGGGGGGGGGATAAAAGGAGAAATTAAATGGAAAATGAGAAAGAAAAACTGAGGTAGCTCAGAGGTAAAAATAATTAAAAGACTTGGCGACAAAGCAGAAGAGTATTTAACCCTCTCTCTCTCTTCAGATCCTGGCTGCGCTGCCGTACGACTGGTCTGGAGGCCGTCTGCTCTTCTTCTCCTGCCTGAGGGTGGTCTTCATCCCTCTCTTTGTAATGTGCGTCTACCCGGCCAGGGCACCCACCCTGTCCCACCCCGCCTGGCCCTGTCTCTTCTCCCTCCTCATGGGAGTCACCAACGGGTACTTCGGGTCAGTGCCGATGATCCAGGCTGCTGGCAAAGTACCGCCCGAACAGAGGGAGCTGGCGGGTGAGTTATTTGCCTTAATAGGCAAAATAATTGTATGTAGAGAAAGATTATAAAGGTTGTTGTAGTAGCTTAAGGAAACATTGAAGTAATATTGACTTTTTTGTCTTTAAGTCTAATTTCAGCAGGAAACAGGTTAAAAAAAAACAAATCAGACTCTAAATGAATTTGTTGAATTAATAAAGTAATCATTCAAGTCATTTATTAAGTAGTTTTCACTGGTTCCAGTTTACCAAATGGATTGGAACAATTCATTTTAAAGCCTATTGCTGTTTTAATTAAACATGCTGGTGCTGGGATACAGAAGAAATAGCAGATTAGAGGTTATAAAAAGCCTAGCACCTCTAAAACTCACTAATCAACACAGTATATCTTGGTATTTAAATCCATTCATAAACCAAAGTGCATGCAAAGTTTTTATACTTCAGTTTTTGTACAGATTAAAAAAATAATATGTGCTGGTAGCTAAATTGTTACCTTTGGACAATGCCAGGCTAACTGTTCTGCCCTCTTTATGCTAAGCTAAACAAGAGCGTTATTGTTTCCTTTCATCTAATTCACAAAAAGAAATCAAATTAGCATATTTCCCAGACAGTCAAATAGAGTTTAAAATGAAAAACCACCAACCCAGATCACAGATCAGTGTGTGTTGAGAAACTCATTGAAACTTTGTTGCTAATTAGCAAATCTTAGCATGCAACTAAGATCAACATGGTAAACATTCAATAAGATACAACATGTTAACATTGTCACTGTAAGTATATAAGATTTTAAATTATTAAACATTTAACAGTTGTGCAGCCTCACGGAGCTGCTAACGTGGCTGCTTCCTCGTTATTTTCACTACTATTTTTTGTTTAAAACTCTTCATTCTGGATGAGCTGGTTCTTTATTCTCTGTCTGTATCAGCTCCGCAGTCATTCTCTGCTCTCCGTCTCTCTCTGCAGGCAACACCATGACTGTCTCCTACATGACAGGATTGATGGTGGGCTCGGTTGTGGCTTACGCAGCTTACAGCTTCACAACCGACATACACTGCACTCCATCCACACTCAACATACACCCACTCGCCAATGCTACTGGGTATTGAATGTCCACACACAAATAAACACACACAAACATGCATACAGTACATCTACACACACATGCAGCCTTTTACACACATGAGATCCAGGTCAGGAGAAGCAGCGCAGACTGATGGACTCGAGTCCAGCTGCAGAGGACGAGAAGACATCTATAAAGCACTCTTTAAAGGTTCATGTTTATACTCTGAGATTTTATTGGTTAAAGAAAGGGGAATAAGAGATTTTAAAAAATGGGATTTAGTAGTGGAGGAAATGATGTGAAACAGTAAAAACGTAGCAGATTTCTCCACTCTCTCGTTCTCCAGCCTAGTGGTCTAGTGACCTTCAAACGTCTCGACTGCTGTGATGATCTTTTCCCTGGAGGTGAAGAACGGGAGCTCAGAGGGGCCAACAGAAGCCCTTTGAGTGTCTCACAGTGAAATTATTGTCTGCATGTGTGTGCGAACAGAGCGGCTGACATTTGTACAGTGTAAAGTCAAGTGATGTTTCGCTGCAGGGAGCGAGGGAGACCTTGTGTCATAGGTCACGTATGTTACTGTTGATGTTCAGAATAGCAAGGTGATGTCAGTGCGGAGTTTTTCTGGACCAGTTGTTTCAGCTGTTTCCTTGTTATAATCTCCAGTGAGATCCATCCATGGGGATTTGATTCGGGTAGTGTTATTGAAAACCTCTGACCGCGCTGTTAAAAACTACAACTTAAGAGGAAGCCCAACTTAATTCACATTAAATCAGAAGTTAGCACGTTTTTAGCTCCTGTGATGTACAAGGGAATATGTGAATATATGTGAGGGATTTAAATAATTGAAAATGCCAAACTGACCCACCGTAATTGTGGTTTTACCTGATCCCCAAATCACATTTGATTGGATAAATGTGTGTATAGGGTTCCAACGTTAATGTTATACAGGACGAGAAAAGAGGGGGAATTTGATATAATCACGCTGTTAATGATCTCTTGACATGTATTTAGCTTATAAGAAGTGACTGCGAGACAGAATTGGAACTTGGAAAATGTATTTTTTGTTTTACTGTGCCTTAAAAGGAATTACAGTTTTTCATTAATTACATACACGCGTCGTACAACTTACAAGATACTGTGAAAACCTAAACTTGTTATTGCAATTTTAAAAATCCAGTTGATGTGTCACATAGACTTAATCTTAATTGTCTTCCGTAACCAAAAATGTAACTATTGAAATCTTTACAGTCCATTTTGAGCTCGGTTGTCTAATCTGGGAAAGCTTCAGTATTTTTTTTCAAGGACATTATCAGCCTTAGATAGGATATCTGAAAAGTAACTAATGAGAAATGAATAATGTCAAACCTTTATGGAGTTATTATGATTCTCTGCATTAACACCTGCAGTTCCCTGTTCTGTTTAATTACATTAATGCCAAAAGAAGATGAGAAAAAGCAGATTTCTGTCTTTTTTTTTTACACCCTCTAACGGCTGGAAAGTGAACTAAATGTTGTGACATTACCACGTGAGGTAGGGAGATTATGGCTGTGTCTTGCAGTTGTGTGTTTAATGTCCCTCTGACCTGTGTCTGTGTGTAACATCCGTGTAATGATGTGGGATATTATGGGGAAACTAATTAGTGCCAAAAAGTCTGATCAGTGTTAGTAGCTGAGAAAAGAGTGAATGTAATAAACCGTTTAAGAGGATGAAAGTTGTAAATATACAGAATGAAATGCACTCAAGGCAGTGAACAGATCATATTTTATTCATGCGAAAGCCTCTAGAAAATATCAGATTCATATTTTTTCTAGCTTTATTCAGTAGAACCAATCCAGAGAGCACCTGTTTCCTTTATCCTTTCAACACAGCACTGAGCAGCTTCTTAGTTCCTCCACATTTCCTGTTGGATCTGATAAATTTTTCAGCGATAAGAGGTTCTCCAGGTACAGCAGAGTTCACAGTTTATACATTATGAAGAAAACAGGCCAACAAAGCCACGAAGAGCACTACATTATGTAGGTGACGGCTTGAAAGGAGCCTAATGTAGGCACTGTTTGAAGAATGGTAGGGTGCCATTTGGGAGCCAACCTCATTACTGTATGTATGTCCCGCTGTGCTGACAGTGCCATATTGCCTCAGGCCTCTGTCCTCTCCATGAGCTGCTGGGTGTGAAGGTGTTTTTAGTTATTTTTGGTCAGATGTGTCATTAAAGGACATGAAAAGTCTCTTTCCCTTTCTCTCTCTCTCTCTCTCTCTCTCTCTCTCTCTCTCTCTCTGGTAGAAACTACAGGGCCATTTGAGAGAAGGGAGATCCCACTTTTCAAGGAATTCCATCTTAAACCGATATATTATGACATTTGGGGAAATAAACTTATTTACTTTCTTGCCAAAAGTTTCATGAGAAGATTAATATCTAAATTAATAACTACAGCCAGCAGTCGTTATGTTAGCTTAGCATAAATACAGTTTACAGCACGTCTAAAGCTTGCTAATTAACATTAGATCGTAATGTTACATCTTGTTTGTTTAAACCATTAAAAAACTAAGGGTAAATGTTAAAATGTTTTGAAACCAGCACCGTGATTTGTCAGTGTACTAAACAGTTTAAGCTGCACTGGAGAAAAATACTCCTGCAGAATTTGACCGTAACAACAACTTTCATCCATTTAAAACTGACACTTTAAAATCATATTAATTACCTACTGTAAAAAAGACCACATGCACACTCTTTTTTTCCACTGTTTTTTCAATCATTTATCATTTCAGAACATATTTTTGGCATTAGCTGACTCGCTTTTATCCAGGGTTTAACAGTAGAATAAGCTTCACCAAAATGAGATCACCTAAAATTACAGACAGCCGACCATTTGGAGTGGAAAAGGCAGAGCCACGGTGGTCTGACAAAATCACTATTACAAGAAAGAAGTGTCAGGAAAACACATAAAACAAGCGGCAGAAGGAATGTTTGGATAGCAATTAGAGTGAATTGGAGCAGAGAGGAAAGACATAAGGCAAAGGCTTTGGCTTCTGATGGGACGAGTTTGAAGGTTATTCCACTGCTGAGAGATTCAGTCTCTATTTGAGTTGATCGTGGAGCTGCATGCGAACACACTGACCTATATAAAATCTAGGGGAAAAGATCTTTTAATCTGATATCGTTCAGACTTCCTGTTCCTGCTTTTTAAAAATCAGCCACATTCTGCGATAATGTTTGTTTTCCTCTGTACTGACAGCAAAGAATTTCTTTAGAAACCACGTCATGCTGGCTATTTTAGTCTGAGCACTCATGTGACTGAACACTGTGAAATATCAGGATGGTGTAAAAACATTGCGTACAGACACTACACCATATATACTGTATATATCTACTGTAATATAAGATATTTTGCAGATGATATTTGTGAAAAACAATAGTATAAGTGTGTTAGTGGGCCCCAAATGAAGAATTGGGCCTTTTTGGGGTCTAATCAGCTTTTGATGCAAAATATGTGCGTATAACTAAATTATTCAATGCCCAAACAGACCTCCCTGGTTTCAGACAATTATCTTTAGCTCTGTATATCAGTACGAAATCTAAAGGTTAATCAGGATCAAATTGTGGCCATTCAGCTCTCCATGTGTAACTCCTAACGCTATTTATTTAAAGATGATGCCCATGCTTAACCTATCAGAGTAGGTGCCAAACTGAAATGTTGTTTTATTGTAAATATGTTACATGATTTTGGTTTAAGATCCTGGATTTTCACAAAGCAGTCTGTTCGTGCCGAGCATTGTCCCATCGTCAGAGCTTAATAAAACAGTTGTTTACACCTTTGTCTGCCGCCTCTGTTTATATGTGTTGTTGCTATTTGTGCTTTTACGTATTTATGGAAGAATTTTTATTTTGTTTTATCTTACGGCTTAGATCAGATACCTTTGAGTCTGCTAAAACAAGAAGCACCCACATTTAGTCTGCCGGATTTCTGTCCTGTTTAAACAGCTGTGAACAGATCAGATCTGCACCACAAAACCTCACATCTCACAAAATCTGTTTCTTCTGAGCTTTTTCAAACGCAGCCCTTATTATAAATGTTTGATTATTTTATGACTCAGGGTTATCTGGGTTTGTGTGAAACATGAAACATCAGAGGCAGGTTTAATCTCTTCCTCAGAACTGGAGGTTGTGATAGCCACAAAGTCTAACAGAGAGAGAAATGCAACAGGATTTCTCACCCTCAGTGCCACGACTGCAAGTGTCTGCCCTGCTGAAGTGTCCTTGAGCAAGAACCTGGACGAATTTATCCTGCAGGGGATCAATAAGTAAAATGAAACCTGTATTGACTGTGTCTATCCAGCAGAGAGAGCTGCAGCTCAGAGAACACCATCAAGGACTGTGCAGGAGAAAGACTTGAGGTCCAAGTGGATACTTCTGTAGAGCATTTGTATGATGGATCAGAGGTTGTGTCTTTATTTAGCTTCATATGTATGTCAGAGCCCCAGAGAATGAAAGAAAGACTTTCTTGTAAAGGGAAATTCTCCTTTTTTGACCTTTAACCTTTCTTTTACAGGACAGCCTCTCTACTCAGGACATACATCATGTGGTCATAGTGTCATAGAGGTCAGAGTGTTCTGGTGGAGCTGGCCGTCATAGTTGTGTGTGTGCGTGTGTGTGCGTGTGTGTGTGTGTGTGTGTGTGTGTGTGTGTGTGTGTGTGTGTGTGTGTGTGACTTTATGTGTGCATGAACCTATGAATATCTGGCTGTTTGCCTGTGTGCATTTTCGCCTGTGTGTGTTTTCGTGTGTGCTAATTCGGGATATGGCTGCAGGGATAGAAAGTCTCTGGTGTGTGACAGAGCGACTGATCATTAGTCATTCTGCTCCACATACTGTAGAAAGGAAGAGGAAGAGAAAAATGGAGGAAACAGAAAGGTAGAACGGGTATGCTCTTGAACATCCTCAACATAATGGGTGCTGGTGTGTGTGTTACTGGTCGTGTGGTGTCAGTGCCCACTTCTTTTTAAAAATACGTTTTGTTCCATTATGGCAGCCTATCACTCGTATAAACAATCTGTTTTTGCAGGAAACCTGGAATTTGTGCCATAAATCAGTTTCTCTCTGTGCCATAAAGCAATACAGCGCAAATCTTCTCCACTATCAGGTTGTTTGTTTGAATACATTGGAGCCATTTATTGATGTGAAAGTGCTGTATGTAGCATTTTCACATCATTAAAAATTGTTCCTCTTCTTCTCTCTGTGGCATAGATCAAACCTTATTAAAGAAGGAAGTAAGAGAGAGTATAATGGGGGATATGTTTGGAAAAACTTTTTCAAACATGACACATTTGAAAATGACATTGGCCAATCATTTTCTTTATACACCGATCAGCCATAACATTATGAGCACTGACAGCTGAAGTGAATAACACTGATTCTGGTTATCATGGCCCCTGTCAGTGGGTGGGATATATTAGGCAGCAGGTGAACATTTTGTCCTCAAAGTTTATGTGTTAGAAGCAGAAAAAATGTGCAGCGTGAGGATTTGAGCAACTTTGACACGGTCCAGATTGTGATAGGTAGACGACTGGGTCAGAGCATCTCCAAAACTGCCGCTCTTGTGGGGTGTTCCCGGTCTGCAGTGGTCAGTACCTATCAAAAGTGGTCCAATGAAGGAAAAGTGGTGAACCAGATACAGGGTCATAGGTGGCCAAGGTTTACTGATGCACGTGGGGAGTGAAGGCTGGCCCTTGTGGTCCGATCCAACAGAAGAGCTACTGTAGCTCAAACTGCTGAAACAGTTAATGCTGGTTCTGATAGAAAGGTGTCAGAAAACACAACATTATGACCACAAGGGTGCTCAGGTGGTCATAATGTTATGGCTGATTGTTGTATACTTTATTAGCACTATAAATTATACTATCCCCAATGTAGGAAATGTGAGGAGATGAGAGTTGAAACAATCAGAAATAACTGCATAATGATTATACTGGTGACATGAAGGACACAAGGTTATCACCTCAATAAATAATAACTCAGTAATTTATTTAAAAATTGATGATCTAATGAGCGTGTCATACTGTGAGTCCTCTGAGACAGATCTGTGATTTTAGGCTGTGAAAAATAATAAAATGGACTTGACTTAGGAGAAAAGCAGAGGCAAATGAATAGAGTGAGGAAGAGAGAGGAAAACAAATACAGGTTATATTTACAGATAGAGTGGGCAGACCAAGCAGGGCAGAGACACAGAGAAGGCCAATAGAGGAACCAAGGTGAGAGAGAGAAGAGATGGAGAACAAACATGAAGTTGTGGAGGGATGACAAGCGAGACGAGGGAGAGGTGATGGATGAGACGGGAAAAAAGAGAGAAAACCAGGGAACAGGGGATGGGCCAGAAGAACAGACAGAGGCATACTGATAAGTGACACAATGCACAGATACGTCTCATAAGCAGGATGGATAGAGTATGATAAAAACAGTCTGTCCCTGTATAACAAAATATAAAAATGAAATATGACAGAAAACGTCCCAGGTGGTGAGCGTCGGCCCTCTCCTACAGGTGGCAGCCTCGAGCTGGAGAAGACTTCACTCCTTCATCCTGTTCAAAGTGTACAATGGGTTTCACTGGCATGAGCATGATTAAGTTTAGCAGACACACAGCGGGTTGTTCAAGGTTTACAGCGTAAGTAAGCTGTTTACAGTGTGTGTGTGAGACTGTAATTCACTATGTAAGAAAAAGAGTTATATGTTATTACAACAGAGACTATAAAGGCAGAGGACAGACAAATGATTTAAAGCCTTTAGTCTGATCAGGTTAACTGTGATAGATGGAGGATGTGATGCCTTATTTTTAATGTCTTTTTTGACCTTTGCTATTTTACAAAAAACGCTGACATTAACTTAATAAAAACAAAAACTTAATACACTATTAACACACAAAATGTACATTTCAGCTTCCTGTCTATCATTTTTAATTACTTTAGAATGAATGTGATAAATTAATATACAATTTTATACATATAAATATGTGAATTATGTAAATAATGGTGAATTTCGCTGTGGATGATTTATGTATTATTAATGCTTTATATTTACTCTTTTTAAGGGAATATATACATTTAAATATATATAAAAGAATATTTAATTTATTTTAATTTATTTTATATAATATTATATAAGTATTCTTTTCATCCCTGGTGTCTGCAGATCTCCTGTCAGGCTCTTCATTGTTGCAACAGCCTCCACCAATTATAAGACTGAGGGCAGTATGTAGCCTGAGAGGCAAAACCCAGGGGGAAAATCCACAAAACTTATTACTGTGAGCATAAGGTAGCAAATTAAGGCAAAGCAGATGAGGGTATCAACAATTTTATCATTATGATTTTGGCAGCTGGACGTGTCAGAGGACACTGTTCAAAGATTTTAAAGACTGACTCATGTCCCCCCCCCCCATTCTCAGAGTAAATGATGCCCGTGCTCCTTCATTAGCAGGAGCTGGCAGTCTTGAGCTTCATTCAGCTGTCAGGTATTCAGTGGGCATCACCTCATCTTCACAGCTACAATGGGATTTCATTCGCACTGTCACTCCTGTCTAAATACCCACAACGACAGCTGTGTGTGTGTGTGTGTGTGTGTGTGTGTGTGTGTGTGTGTGTGTGTGGTGTGTGTGTGTGTGGACCGTGAGAGAGAGAGAGAGAGAGAGAGAGAGAGACTCAGAGAGGGAGAGAGAGAGACAAGTAAACATGCCTGAAATTCAAAGACTCCGATGTTTCATTCATTATGTTGTCAACATGAATAATAGATAGCTAATTGATATGCAGTACATCACATCTCACACACACACACACACACACACACACACACACACACACACCCTTCCATGTGGGATCGCACTCTGAACTAATATTTGTAAGGCTCAGTTGTCATTTCACATTCAAATTTATCACAAGAGGCAAAAGAACAAGAGACACAGTGAGGGGCGAGAGTGAGACAGAGAGATCAAAAGCCAGAGAAAACAAGGAACACACACACACACACACACACACACACACACACACACACACACACACACACACACACACACACACACACATCATACAAACACGCAGAGGTTGGAAAAACTGAGGAAAATAACAAACTCGCTCTATAACTGAGTAGTTTTTTCTCATTGTAACAACAGAACATTCATGTTGAACTACTGTTGTAAAAGTGAAAGTGTTGTAAAATGACATCTAAAAGCTAATATGGGAAGACATCCTGTCTGACTGCGTCCCAGCTGAGGGACGGACCCTCCCAAGGGGGTCCCCAGATAGATCTGAGTTGAGCTAATGAAGGTTGGAACCCACAGTTGTGTTTCATTTGGTTTTAATTTGGTTTAGTGAAGTAAACTACAGGATCAGGTGACAATTCATCACTTCATCCAGCCCCTGAGAATATATATAGTCATTTGATCCATTGTTATTATGACAATATTGATTATAGCTGCTGTAACAAACCCAATTGTATTTCCCAGAAAATTTTTTCAGCTTCGTCTCTTTGTTGCCACAAAGCAGAGAGACAATAACATGAAGATTTAAAGGTTCAGGTGTCTCCAGGTTGGTGAGCAAACAGTCCTATTTGACATCCACTTTGTCTTGTTGTTTATCCTCTGTTTTCCTCCTGTCAGGAGTTGAAAACACACAAATAAAGTAATCCGAGAGAAAAGGCTGTGAGAATGAAAGAATGACAGACACAGAAAGAGGGAAGAAGAAAGTAAAGTTAGTATAGAAATGAAAACACAAAACTTTTTTTTCCTCTTTTTGGCAGAACAGAGTTGAAGGACAAACACAGTGTTCTGAACGTCTCCAGTCTGAATAACAACCCTTTCAAACTGTTTGTGCTCAGTCTGCATTTGAACGCCCCCTCACTTAGATACCTGTCTCCTGGGAAACCGGTGTGTGCGACCCACTCTCTCTCACACACACACACACACACACCTGCACGCACACATGCCCGGAAGAGCTGAGGAGTAAAGAAAAAGAGAGGTGGAGGGCTTCAACAGTAATGAGTTCAAAACACTCACATATACACAGGTGCATGTATACACACACACACACACACACACACACACACACACACACACACACACACACACACACACACACACACATCTTGGCTCCCTCTGCTCCCTGTGTTAAAGCTGCAATGAAGTCTCAGCCAATAGGACGCCTCTGTGCACGTGATGCTGGCCAATCAGAATGCTGTATGCTGACACTCCCACTGGAGGGTGTGTAGGGCGCTGCTGAGATAGGATGGAGGGAGAGTGTGTGTGTGTGTGTGCCAGTGTATGTTAGGATGTGTGGATACCTTTCTGTGCTGGTGTCCTGTATCTGTGTGTGTGTGTGTGTGTGTGTGTGTGTGTGTGTGTGTGTGTGTGTGCAGAGGAAGCTCCCAGCAGGTTCTGATGTTATGCTGATGTTGGTCTTTTGGGGGAAACAGAGAGGCGGCCGAACCCCTGACTGCTGCTCACCGTGAAACAGGAACACACACTCAGTTCATGTCAGCAAAGATTTAATTACACGTGGACACACAAGAATTCAAAAGCCACACACACACACGCACACACACACACACACACACACACACACACACACCTTTGCCAGGTCTTTAAGGGGAAAGTCATGAATGGTCAGCGGTGGAAAATGTGTCTCCCGTGGTCAGCTCTGCAGCTCAGCAGAGGAAGCTGAACTTTCCTCCATTTTATCACAACCAGCAGCTTCATTACTGGGCTGCCAAAATGGAGGCCTGATGGAGTCCACTGTTGATTAAAGGGGCAGTCCACATAAACTGAAGCCAGGCACAAAAGCAAAGGGGGAAAAAAACAACAACCAGGAGAGCAGCTAATTTAGGTGAGCGGCAGTGAAACCTGCAGGACACGAGGTGATGGAGTAGTTTCACGTTATGTGAAACGCGCTGACTCGCTTTCTGGCGGGGAGTTGGATGGGAAAGATTAATGACACTCTCATGTGTGGTAAATATGAAGCTAGAGCTAGCAGCTGGTTGGCTTAGCTTAGCATAAAGACTGGAAGCAGGGGTGAACAGCTAGCAGGGTTGTCCAAAGGTAAAAAAATCTACTTACCTGCGACTCCAAAGTTGACTAATTAACACGTTGTATCTCATTCGTTCTATTTGAACAAAAAACTTGAATATTTGCCTACTTACGGCCAGGAGCAGTTACTTCCTGGAGTCTCAGCTGGTTGCCTGGCAACTGTTACCAGTCAAAGCAACAGTCCTGTACATAACCAAACATATTTACGTTTTATACGGATTAAAAGGACATACAACATGTTAATTATTGAGCTTTAGAGGTGGCGATGGGTGGATTATGGCTAGCGGTTTCCTTTGCTTGTCAAACTTTTTCTTTAAAATATATTTCAGGCACTTTGTGATTTTTTTGACTAACAACATTTTAGCAGTTTAAAAAGAAACAAAAAGTCATCAAAAGATGTCAGAAAAGAGAAAAGCTTAAAGAAATGAAATAACTCGATTTCATGCGAGAGAATCACAGAACACCAACAGTACAGTTCCATCTGTTTATTGATTAACTATAAAATATTGAGTTACTAAAACAATTGAAAAGAAACTGATAAACGTGGTTGCTGTCTGTAAAAAAAAAAAAAAAAAAACAGTTCCTTACACATACAGTATAGGGTGACAGAATATATCTGGTTTCAGATTTATCTCTAAAATGTATTCTTTTTGCATTTTTACAAGATTAGACATGTGTACAAAGTATATTCTGATAGTTTTTTCTCCCCTCGACAGTGAAGGATCATTTACAAAACTTAGATGATTTTTCTATTTATTTTCAAAATAATCTTTTTTTTCTGTAACAGGACGATAACGATACTGAAGGAACAGCAGACGAAGAACCAGCCTCCAGTCCACCTCTCTCTCTCTCTCTCCATTCTCTCTTTTGCTCTCTCTCCCATTCCTCATTCCTCTTTCCCATTTCTCTCTCTCTCTCTCTCTCTCTCTCTCTCTCTCTCTAGCAGCTAGCTCCCAGTGCCTGTCAGCAGTATTGCTTGAGAGGCGTGGACGATTGTTCAGAGAGGGGAAGCAAGGGAAGAAAAGAAAATGACGGAAACATGCAAAAGAAATATACCGAGCTAAAAAACTAAATCACAGCAAAAACTAAATTTGTAAGACAAGCCAAAGTAAAACATAAACGGTGGCAAAAAGAACATATACAAAGTCAGGCTCTGAAAACATATGACACCAAATGAAAATGAAGGCGAAGTGGGCAATAAGTGTGTGTGTGTGTGTGTGTGTGTGTGTGTGTGTGTGTTGGACCCTGTTTGAAGGCCTAAGGCTGGGCTTTGGATGGAGATAGGGGGCAAATATAGATTGGAAGGCAATAACACGCACCTTAAATGGTTACAAAGGTGTGTGAGTGTGTGAATGTGTGTGAATGTGTGTGTAACACCAGGGGATAAGACTGTGATGTCTTATCAGTCTCCCGCCCTCACACACACACACACACACACACACACACACACACACACACACACACATACACATACACATACACATACACATACACACACACACAGACAGAAAAAAAGTGCTTTAGCAGCTCCAGGGGTAAACAAACATTCATAACGGGCACTTTAACTTGTTCACTCTGCAAACACCGGTAAGACCTGTATACCCATCACACTCCCACGGCTGAGACACCAGCCGGAGATCCATTCTGGCCGACTGTCACTCAAAAACTTTTGAACTTTTGTCCGCAGAAATGTGAGCTTCAGGCAGGGACCTTCAAGCAGCAGCTTGAGGAGCAGGTGGGGCTTTAAGCAGATAAGATTTTCTGGCAACAATAAAACGAGTAATCTCAGCACATGTAGTCACTCTGTACCTGGGTCAACCACTTTCAATACTAATAGACTAGCAGCACATAATCAAACTTTTTCATTTACTGGGCGGCTATCATGTCTGGATTATCTGTACTGTACTGAAATGCTGCTATACTGGCAGACGTCTTTTGTCCTTTCGTCAGGAAAATGTCACATTAACAACATTAACATCTTGGGTCGTCCTCCAGAAGCATTGCAGCCATCTCAGAGTGAGTAAAAATCAGATATATCCTATAATAAAATCAGACAAATCCAGACATAATCAAAAGATCTCAAAAGAGTAGAAAATATTAAACCTATTGAATATCAACAAGACAATCTTCAATCTCTGCGGCAAAGCAGAGAAAGGGCAACGTGGTAAGAAACATACAAGAAAATCAACATGATAATCACAGATATATACTACATATACAGTATACTATATACTGTATATAGACACTGGTACAAACTCTATACACAATAGTGTAGCTTTTAGTGAGTTAGGAGCTCAGGAACGGAGGGTTGTTTAAACTATAAATCACAAAGAAGAAAGGTGTTTCCCAACATCAGCAGACTGAGGAAAATACCAATCTGATTACTCCTCAAGGGGGGCGGGGACCATTGTGAGATTTGACGAATCATCATCATCATCATCATCATCATCATCATCATCATCATCATAATATAAGGCCTAGGAGAGTAAAGGCCGCCCAAACGCTCACAACCCTGAGCACGACATTCAACAGTCTCACCCTAAAAAACGGTTAAAACTAGGCACATAGAAAAAATTCATAAGCAGCTAAGAGAGGTGAAAAGAAGAACGTGTAAAAAAGGGACGTGGTGGCGTGTGTTTGTGTATCTGTGTGTAAGGGGTGTCATGCAGAGGAAAGGCAGCGGGAGCGGTGGGAGGGGTTTAGTAAATACTCTAGGAAGACGTACAAGACTCCCAGTCACAGAGTCTCCTCTGCAGCGGAGCTCATTCAAAGTGCACTCATTTCAAAGATGATTGCTTGGAGGGGCGGCATGTGTTCAAATGGGGCTAAGATAAATGTCCATAAAGCAGCTGAAGCAAAAGGAAATTAAAATACATCTAGCACAGGACATTTAGAGGTTGAAAACGCTGCAGCCAAAATAAATGAACGGAGCCAAACTGTGGAAGATGACTGTTAAAATTGAATTATGTTCATGATCTAATCAGTGCTGGCAACTGCGTACTGACTATCAGCGCCATGACCTTGATGCATCTTGGACTGACTGCAACGTTTACAACCCTGAAAACACCTTAAAAAAAAAGGAAAAATCCACCCTCTGGGACTCCTACACTGTTAATACATCAGCTCTTGTTCAGTGCATTCATGGAGTCACTTTGTGATCAAGTGTTGTTGTCTTGTTTACCCATTTTTCTTACAGGTTTCCTACGTTTCCCAGAATGCTTTTCAGCATCCCCTAGACACCAGCTACAACTTGTAGCTGGGCTGGGTCTCTCTGCTGAGGCTTTTGTCGGGTGGAGAAACTGGAGTCTCCGCCTCCTTTGGGGTCTATTTCTCCTCAGTGCAAAACAACGAAATACAAGATACGTCAACAGCAGCTGTTTTTGTTTATAGTGTTTAAGTGTTTTCAGAGTGGATTTTATTCCTTTAAGATAAGGAACTCAAAGGTGAAAATGAGTTTTTGATAGTACAAGATTCCATCCTCTCTCTTTTAGGCCTGAGTCTCTGAGGGAGTCAGAAGTTTTAGTAGCACACGGACAGTTCACCCGCCCGAGTTAGGATTGTCAAGGGGAATTGAAGGGGTTAAATTAAAGGAGGGTAGATTTTAAGTGTTTTTTTTCGTTAAGTGCTTTCTGTTGAACAGCAATGGAAGGACTATCTACTTCTCTCGTTCTCTCTTTGCGTTTATCTGTCGCTCCTGCTGTTCTGTAGATACATTTATATGACTGTAACATGACTGTAACATCACCACGGCAACATCATAATCACAACATCACATCACCGGTGTGTGTGTCTGTCTGTCTGCCGGGGCGGACGGACAGGAACGGGCCTCTCTCTCTCTCTCTCTCTCTCTCATATCATCATTCACAGTTCATTAAAGCTTCTCGACTGTTTACCTCTTTAGAAAAAAGTACTCTGACATAAATCTATTACATGAAAATAAAACACTCATATTTTCCTCTATATAACTGTGTGTGTATTACATGGAGGTGAGTATTTACATGTGTCTGTGCATGTGTGAGTGTAGGTATGTGTTCATGAAGGATGTATTTACATGTAAAAGGAGACCGCTCATGCGTGTTCTGATACTTTCCCATGAACACAACGAGCGGAGCGGTATGTGTTGATGGAGTCTGTGTGTGCAAATGTTCCAGGAGACTTGTTCCTTTTAATACTGTCTATAGTGTCTCCCGTTTCTGTAGTAGTAGCTGTTCATGACAGTCCATTTGAAGTGTACATGGTATCAGAGAGCGGTTGAATCCACTGAGTCACGGCTGTGAAAGATCCATCATGAATGAAGGTCAGTGATTAGACTTGGAAAGACCTCAGGTTGGGTTAGACTCCTTTAGTGAGGTCCAAAGTTGGGTCATTTGGTTTCAGCAACTCGCGGCGAGTTTCTGCGTCTGCCTAGCAGATGACTGGAACTCCGTCTGTGTTGAAGATCATGCCGGTGGTGGGCTCGTAGGTGCCGGCCAGGTAGTAGAGGTCTTCACTGTCGGCGTAGCGGCGCGTGTGTGTCATCTGCTCATACTCCTCCACGCTCACCACCAGGCACTTGTGGCTGACCGTCTGAACGTCATTCTCGTCGCTGTGAGATGACTGGTAGAGGGCGCGCTGTGACAGAGACAGAGGTTTTTATGAAGAAAGTTAGCTAGAAAGGCTGGTGTTCTGTGTGTTCTAGCTATCTGTGATTTCAGATAAGCAAGAAAGCCACAAATATGCTGCAAGACCAAAACCCACCGCCTAAAGGAATAAAGATTTATATTTTATTTTCATTTTTTAACTAACAGCATCATTTATTGACATATTCCGTTATATTTTAGACTTGTCTGATAAGCTTTTACTACTACTGTGGTTATGATAAAATCACCTGGGATTTGTAGCATGAAGATCAGAGTTGAACTAAATTGGTATTTTCTTACCTCCATGAAGTCTTTCCTTTGGATGGAAGAGTGTAAAGCTGCTGGCAAAGACTGACCACACATCTGATCCCAGTTCTGGAGAGCAAAGAAGTCTTAGTAAAAAAGCTTGTCATAACACTTTTTTAATGATACAGTAGCACTTTATTTTGCAATGAGGAAATACATTGTAGGAGGGTTTTATTAGTTATGAGATTGCACTAACTAATTCCCCTTTCATGAACAGAATTTCCTGAAATTCAATACCTGTCAAAATAAGACATTCCGTTATTCCGATGTAATCATTAAAGAAACAAAATGATCTTTTACTGACAAAATTCTGGGAATGCGCTTTATCATCTGACAATGACAACCACTGTTCAAAGAGCAGCCCTCCTGCTCTAGGGAGCAGTTTCAGTTTAATAAATCGCTTCACAGAACTGGTTTTAATATTACTACCTTCTTGTCAGTGAGTTTCTTTCCGGGGTTAGTCTCTTCTGGATGATAGAACCAGTTGACCCTAACCACCATGTTGCTGCCCCATGACTCCCACATGCTCTGGATGCGGCCAATGAAGGGCAGGTTAGGCCGCCCGGCGGACAGGAACACAGCACAGTCACCGATGCGGATCATCTCTCGGCCTCGGACAATAGCCTTATAGAAGAGCTTTTTAGCCTTGCCCTTCATACCGCGTCTCTGGGGAGGGGTCAGGAGAGGACAGGCTGGTCACACAGAGTGAAAATAAGCACTATTTGGACGAATACAGAAGGTTTTTCTCAAAATTTGACTGTGAATTATTTTATTAGTGAGTGATTTTTCTCCTCACCTGAGTGGGTTTCCCAAACCACTTCCAAAGTTGTCTGGCTGGAAGGAAAGCAGAAATTTTGGGTCTGTTCTCCACACTGGGAAGCCTTTGACGTTTAGCCAGCTCCTTGGTTGTGGGGAGGTGGACCCCCTCTCTCCGTTTTGGTCTCCCCACTTTCCCTTCGCCTCCGCTGGGCTTTGGTTTTGGGGGACGACCCCTTTGCCCGGAGCCCTTCCCGGTGGCTGGTTTAGCAGGTTTAGCAGGAGCCGCAGGAGTCGGGGAGGTTGACGGGGATGGAGATTCTGAGGGAGGAGACAGCTCTTCTTCCTCCACTTTTACATCCACCTCCTTTTTCACTGCTTTTTCTTCTTCTTCGTCTTCTTCTTCTTCCTCCTCCTCCTCCCCCTCCTCCTCCTCCTCTTCTTCCTCTTTTGTTTCTTCTTTCGGTTTGTCCTGTACTGGAGGCGTGGAGACGGGACCTGGCGGAGGCGTAGGGGTCCTCTCTTCATCTGAGCTGCAGGAGGAGTCATCAGTGGACGAAGAGGATGAGGAAGAGGACGACGATGACGAAGATGAGGAGGAACCAGAGCAGGACGATGAGGAGGAAGAGCAACTTGAGGTGCATTTCTTCTTTTTCTTCACCTTCCCTTTCTCCCCTTCTTCCTCGGACTCTGAGCTGCTGCTACTCTGAGATTCCTCTTTCATCTTTCTCTCCTTTCTTTTCTCCACCTCCTTTCTCTCCTCTTTTTTTCCCTTCTCCTCTCTTTGGTCCATCTCCTGTACTCTGCCAGCACTTCCACGACTCTCTGCCTTCTCCTTAGCCAGCATCGGTGCTTTGTAGGTGGAGTCTTTCTCTGGTGGGCCAGTCTCTCTATCTGGAGGTCTCGGTTTAGCCTTTAGCGGTTTCTGATTGGCTGTCGCCGTGGTGATGGGGGTGTGATCTCGTCTGACACCCCGACCCTCTAGCAACATCAGAGCCTTGGTCTTCTTTGTCTTGGGGGAGGTGACACCTTCGTGGTCAAGCTTCACAAGGGGCTCTGCAGACACGGGCTTGCGCCTCACCACCGAGCCCACATCACTCTGCCCTGAGCTGGTCTTGGGTCTGGAGATGGGGCTGGGTCTTGAGTTGGAGGACAGCTGATCGGACGGCAACTTCAGTTTAGGTCTGGGGACAGATGACGATGACAATGAAGATGATGAAGATCTGGGAGTTAGTGAAGACCCGGGTTTGCCTGTTGACAGCCTGGAGATGGGACTGGGTATGAGTCCAGTGCTGAGGCTGGTTCTGGAGCCGCTGTGATGGTCAGAGGAGGGTTTGGTTTTGGGTGTGGAAACAGAAGTGGGTCTGGGCGTGGATGAAGCACTTTGCTTGGATGCAGTAGATGATGTTGTCATACTGGGTCTGGACATGGGTCTGTTGGTGGTGGGACTGACACTGCTGGTATTCTCTCTCTCTCTGCGCTGGCTGTTGTACGAGCTGAGGTTGGGCTCGCTGTACAGATCCACAGTCAGGACCTTCCCGTAGGTGGAGGGGTAGAGGGAGGGAGGGAGAGGGCGGGAGGGTTTAGGAGGAGGAGGCTGGGCTGAGCTGGACTTCCTAGGTACTGGGTTGGGGATGGTAGGGCTGCTTGCGGGGGACGTGGTGGAGCTCTTGCGGGCCGGTTTTGTCTGACTTCCCATTGTCGGCCGGGATGCAGGCCGAGGCTTCTCCTGAGCTGCCTTCTGGACAGAGGAAGTCCTGTCCATGGAAGGCTTGGCTGGAGCCTGTTGTCTTTCTGCTGGCTGGTTGGAGGACGATGGAGGATCAGCTTTCTCCCGGCCATCTGGGGTCATGGAGGGCTCTGGAAAAACCAACAAGGAAAGACTTTAACAACGCTGCTTTTCTGGGCAGACTATGCTGTAAATAGCACGCTAAAATTGTGTGGCTTCATGATTTTTGTGGTCTGCAGCCTCACATGCTGAGAACGGCAGACAAATCAGCAAGGAAACAATTCTGAAATGAAAACATTGCATTTGAGAACTGCTTACCCAGTAGAAACAAGGCCAGCGTCAGCAGATCAGACATGTGACATGCCATATATTACAGCTAGAGTAATAGACTCTGAGCTTTGCAGAACAACTACGAAGCTGTTTGAGCTAGCATATTCATTAAACTGACATCAGAGATGACAGCCATGCTCAAATATGAGATGTTTGATGAAAGCTCTGTCTGAGCTTTGAGCTATTTTTGTTGGTTCTGTTGTTTTAAAAAGAAAAAGCCTTTAATGCTCTCTATGATAAATATTTTGAAATGGGGACAGCAACAAACTGCATGCATTATTATTCCTAATAATCAACATAAACAAAGCCCATTTCCAACTGTCTTAAATGTATAGGTAAAGCACTCTTAAGAGAAACACACTGCACGTCCACGATGAGCACTGAGCCAAATAATGTATAACCCATCTCTTATTTATGACGACACATTTGGCTCCAGTGCGCGAGGAGATGTTCTGTACTGGTCCCATGGAATTACTCAAAGAAGAAAAATGGTGGCATATCTCTAATAAAAGCAAAAGTGATGGCAGTACTTAATGTACAGCACACTGGTTTTATTTAAAGTATCCCTTCCATTATTCTTTACCTCCCAGGGGAAACCTTTTCTTTCTTTAATAATTCTAACAGATTTGACACTTTCAATCATTTCTATGAAAATCATTGTTTCTGCTAACTATTTTACAGATAGTCAGGTAGAATTAGAGAATATTATCTAGTAGTGGTATAAGCAGCAGGTTGGTGGGTTGGTGATAGAAGTTCGTAAGTGAAGCAAAGATGACTGAAGCAACAACAAACTGATAAGGACTTTAATTATTCCTGAGGGAGGGGGTTGATTAGCTCACCTGGTTTGGGTTTGGGTTTGCGACCAGGTTTTCCTTTGATCTTAGGAGTTGTTTCCTCTGGCTTTGTACCGGCCTCTTTGCTGCATTTGCGGACTCGCCTCCTGGAGCAGCTGGCCACGAGCAGAGCAGGGGACGGCTCAGCGCCTGAACAGAAGCACAGAGGCAGCAGGCTTTAGGGTTTATTTTAAGAATTTAACCTACCTGCTTCCCATGCTTTCATCATGACAGCTGTCTGTTACCAGCAAAGTTTCAACCTCTCAAATGGAGCCAAGGTTAGTGGCTATTTTGGACACTGTGTATTTGAGTGTGTGCACTCTGCAGTGTTCACTCCCTCATAAAGCAAAAGTGCCCACCGAGAAAAAAACAGTGTAACAAGGTGTTTTGAGCTATGTGATCAACAAATATTTTCATTTTTGTGTGATCCGTGTTGTTTGCTTCCTTTTGAAAGCCCTATTTACCTTCTTTATATTTGATGTGGACACTCATCAAGTCCAAACCAGGCTTTAGTTTAGAGTAGAGATGTACTGGAATGTGTGTGTGTGTGTGTGTGTGTGTGTGTGTGTGTGTGTGTGTGTGTGTGTGTGTGTGTGGCGCGTGCGCTCACAGTGAATCTTGTAGTCTGGCGGCAGCAGTCTGATGTGGGAGAGGGGGATGCGGCCTGTGTCGCCATCGTCAAACTCCACCGTGATGAGATCATCATTCTCGTCAATATCTGAACTTCCTGTTTGGGAAAAAAAGTCACAAGTGAGCAGAGGACATTTTATTTTGGCACATTTTATACATTATAAACACTTGTTATAACACGTGCTTCGATTAGTTTAACTCTCACAGCTCAGTCACTCAAGCAATACTGATTCCTATTGTTCACTGCAATAAAGCTCACTGAATTGAAAGTGTTCAATAAGAACAGAACCCAGACCAGTTATGTTCCCATTACCATCCAGCTCGTCAAAGTAATAAACTGCTGTGTTGTATACTGAAGGAGCAGCACGTTAAGATCTTTTACATTTGTTTCTGCTGCCAGCTACAATTAAATTGTCCATGTAAGTGGATTATGAAACAAATCATGTAAGTGGTCGCTGTGTGTGTGTGTTTGCGTGCTGTCGCTGTACCGTTTACAACAGTGCCAGGGTACAGGCAGCGGTACTGCTGGCTCCAGTATGCAGCGATGCGGGTGCCCTCTGGGAGGTAGCGCACTGATGGAGGCTTCACATCGATGATCTGCCCGTACAGAAGGAAGAACCTTTACACGTCAGCATCGCACACACACTTACATTATTTGTATACAGTGAATGATCCAGTTTACTCACAGCCTCCTGCAGCAGTTGTTCCAAACAGTAGATGTGTGGTCGGTTCCCTCTCTCCCCTTCCACCACCACACTGTATCTGCAAAGGAGGTAATGTGAGACGGTATCTTCATCTGGATCCTAAATGCTCTGATGTGTAGCATCCCGGGGAATGTGTTGTTTTTTTTTACTACTGCTATACATAGTACTTTGGCTCTGGCTACAATGTTAATGCTAACACCCACATCCCCCTTGGAATATTAATCCCATCTGAACAGGGCTTTAGTCTGTTTGTTTTCTTTTAATTAAACCACTCTGGATTTCAGCATCAGCTAAATGACCAAAATGAGATCTAAGTGTAAAAGCTTCATGTTTTTTCATGTTCATGTGTATGCAGGTTTTTGCATGTTTAAAAGAATACAATGACATTTTGGGATTTTTATTTTTAAGATGAGAGTTAGATGAGGAGATGAATACCACTCGCTACAGCCAGCAGCTGCTTAGCTTAGCTTAGCATAAAGACTGGAAACAGGGGGAAACAGCTAGCCTGGCTCTGTCCAAAGGTAACAAAATCTGCCTACCAGCACCTGTAAGACTCACTAATTAACATGTTGTATCTCTTTTGTTCATCAAGACCTAAGTGGGAAAACAGTAATTAAGTTGGGTTAGCTGTTCCCACCTGCTTCCAGTCTTAATGCTAAGTTAAGCTAATATTTAGTGATATCAATCTCTTCATTTAATTCTCAGAAAGAATGCAAATAAGTGTATTTAGCAAAATGTCAAATTATCTCTTTAAGAGTATAGAGAGTGTTTCTGCATATATATATGAAGTATTCAGTCACCAGTTTAAATCCCTCTCTATAGTATGTTGAGCATATGAAGAATCAACAAAGCAAGCAAACAGGTCACTGTGGTTTCTACCTGCAGATGCTAACAATATTTCCCCTTACAGTCTAAATGTCTGGGGATTCTCCACATATGTTCCAGCAATGTGCAGCTGAATAAAGTACTTCTCAAATCAAGGACAGCAAACAGTGAAGCAGGAAAGAAAATTGGAGCACACTGATTGATTTGCAGTTTTTAATTGTGCAAACAGATGTGTGTGTTTCCACTTTTAAAAGGCAGCAAATAAATCACCATCACTTCTTTTTACCCTCTAAATGGCTGCGAGTGTGCACTCACATGTCAGGGGAGTGTACAGTGTTCACGTGGCCTGCGTACAGTAGCTGGTCGTCCATCGGGATCAAAACTCTGAGTCCATCCACCAGAGAATCCTTATCCAGGACACACTGCACAGGAGCTGAACACAACAACACACAAGCCATAAATAAGTGCATCATTATTTACAGTGCGGCCCAGGTCTGGAAGCGGTGGTAGATGTGTCTTTGTGCACTGACCAGGTGTGGAGGACCTCTCTGATACGCTGCTGCTGCGCGGTGGGAGGAGCTCGTCTTCGCTGAAGCTGCTGTCCTGGTTGGGCTCGAAGTCTTCGTCTGCCGCCATGCTCTCCATTAGCCGGCTCACCGCTCCCCTGGAAGGCTGCAAAAACACACAGAAGGGCTTTGATTTCACAGCACTAATTATCCAAGGGAAATTAAGGGAAAAATTATCAACTGTCTGAAATGTATTATTCGAAAACCCCCAGATGATAATTGGTAAAAATGATGATGATGATGAAATGATCCTGCTACTTAAGGTTAATTTGTGGCAGCCCACCAAACAACCAGGCTGACACACCACAAATTAACTTTTCAAAGTGAAACAGCAACATATTACAACACTTATGCTATCAAATACACTATTTTCTTCTGCTGTTCCACCACCACAAAGAGCTCTGCACACACACACTTTAGCTGCCTTTCGTGTTTCCAAAACAAACCAGAGTTTTGGCTGGAGGCAGATGGAGAGCAATGCACAACACTTTGGCGGAAATCACACGATACAGGAGGTTTACTTTTTTCCTCTCGCTAACAGAACAAAGCAGTGTTAATTACAACAGAAGCTATCAGTTAAATTCTTGAGACTTATTGTTATTGTGTGTGAATGTGTTGAGCTAGAAAGTAAAGTGTGTGTGTGTGTGTGTGTGTGTGTGAGTGTGTGTGTGTGTGTGTGTGTGTGTGTGTGTGTGCGCACATTTAGGTATAACAACTAAAAGGTTCTGGTTTTGTCCTTGCCAGGATAATTAAGTTCACATCCATAATGACTTTGCAGCTGATCCATCATCCCACTGACCTCCCTGGCCTTGGTCTTGGCTTTTGATTGGCTCTTGCGTGACGGGCTGAGGCTCAGAGGCACAGGGCTGTCTGTGATTGGACTGCACAGGGTGGACGGGCTCACGGGCAGAGGAGAGTCCTTCAGTTTCTTTTTCTGGTTTTCAAAAGTCACAACACACCGAGTTAAAACATGCATATGAATTACGGCACTGAGGATCTACTGGACAGATTTATATCTTCTCACACACACACACGCACGCACGCACGCACGCACGCACATACACGCACACACACTGAGGGTGGGATGCTGCCAGGCTGCCTGCAGTTGTCCTTTCTTGTCAGCAACACGACACAGACAGCAGGGGAGTGCTGCAGTGACTGAAGTACTAGGAAACCCTGCTGGCACTCTGACACACACACTCTCACACACAGAGGTGTCAAGGGAGACAAAGGGATGTGAGTTTGCGGGGAGGAGTGAAACAGTAACAGAAAAGAAAAGGAAGAGGAGCAAAGAGGAGGAGAAAGAATAAAGACTGGAATGTCTTTGTTTTTTAGGCTTGTGTCAGTTGGTGCATAACAACCCGATGAATTATTGACGTACTTTCACCACATCTTTCCCCTCTCTGCCGGGCGGAGCAGGTTTGGGTCTGGAGGCCGGCTTCGGGGTGAGAGGTGGGGCTGAGCTGGAGGAAGAGCTCTGACTGGAGGAAGCAGAGGCTGGCACAGACATTTGACTGGCTGACATGGTCGCATCGTGGAGGAAAATTCTCTCGCTGCGTCGTCGGGTCCAGCCCTCGTCCTCACTGAAGCCTCCAACGCCAGAGCTGGGAGGGAGGTCGAAGCTGAATCGCCGCGGGGACCGGGGCGAGGGGCGAGGTTTGGGCAGGGGCTTGCGCTTCATGGGCAGCGCTTCATCTCTCTTGGTGGGGCTGGTCTGGTCGATGCGGCGGGTTACCGGGGGCAACAGGGGGAGCTCTGGGGCAGAGCGTTTGCCGTGCAGCAGAGAGGGGAACTTCCTTAGCCGCAGGTCCGAGCCAGAGTCAGACCACTCGCACTCTGACGACCCTGACAGAGGAGAGGGCCACATGATGTAAAAACTCAAACTTAAAATCTCACACACACTGTACTAGTAATAAACTCAGGTGTTAGATTCTCTAAAATCAATAACCCTGTGAATAGGACTATTGATCAATTTGAAACTAATACATAATTCAGGACTGAATCATTACACACACCCTGATGTGACAATTAGAAATGATTGGATATTTAACTATAAATCAATAACAATCCTGAAGAAGGCGGTGAACCTGCTCAACCACAAAAAATTACAATTATACTGCGCAACGCTTTCAGGGGAACCTGTGAAATTAGTGAAAGCAGAACAGTTTGAGCAGAGAACATTTTGTTTAAATACAATAATGAAGAAAAATAAATCATTCTGTTTATTTGTTCAGACATGATGCTCAGTCACAGGAAACACATTTCTATCTGTTGTGTTTTTACCCAGAGTGCTTTGCCTGCTGCGGTGTTTGCCATCATGGAGAAGGCTCAATGGGGTGGAGCTGACAGGGAGCGCGCTTGCCGCGAACCTGGCCAACAGACCCAGCCCGCTTTCTTCACAGCCGCCATCATCGTCCGAATCGGACTCATCCTCGTTGTTGTCGTCATCCTCCTCGGAGGTTCCTGTTTCAGAGACAACATTTTCAGCTCAGACATGAATGTGGCTGCAGTGTGGGTCTGGGCCAAAGTTAAAATCTTTTCCTATTGTTTCTACTGACTTTGGACACAAGTCACCATAGAGATCAAGACAAAGACAAGACTGAATTAAGCCCTGTGTGAAAGGATACAGCAGCCTAAACTTTACATGAACAGAGTTATACACGGATACACACACACTATCCCACATCTTAACACGTAGGCTGATCAGAGACAACAGTGGAGAGAGAGGAGATAGACTGTCCAAACCACTGCAGCCTGCCTTCACACTGTAATGCTGTGTAAGCAAGATACAGAGAGGAAAAATTTGGATTTACCACATGCGAGACAGACAGACAGACAGACACACGAGCTGAAACTCTGACTCAGATATTATTTATTTTGTAGGAAGAGAAGGGAAAACCACACTTCTTCATCTAAGTCTGACAAGCCTGAGCACGCGCACACACACACACACAGAGTTACATACTGCTGGTTAGCTGTGTGTTGCTGCTATAAGAGTTTAGGTCCATGGCAACAGATGAGCAGGAGGAGCGCCTCCTCAGGGGTTAGAGTGTTAACATTGAAGGTGGATGCACAGTACAAGGTCTTATATACCTACGCAGTGTTTTTTTTTTTTTGTTGTAAAATGTGTTTACAAATGTTTATATTTAAAAAGAAACTCAACACCAGGCTGAAGAGCAGTGTTTTGCTGCCCTCTCTGGTTTCAAGGCTGTTGCACCTGTAACCTAGCAGTGATGTCATGGTGTACAGGAGTACTGCAGCGAGGTGACAAGTTCAACCAGTGGAGGTCAGCAAAAACACGGTTTTTAGGGGGTGTTAAGTCACTTTTTAACTATAATGATATTGCTTAATCTGATTTATAAAGCGTATTTGTTCACTTTTGTTGTGGTTAAAGATAACATCTAAAAATAATTTAAAAACTAATCTCAAGTTGTTTGTCATTTTAGGGTCAAAATCTGGTGATATGTTTTACTGTGAATCCACGATGTGTTAACTGTAGCAAGCAGACGATACAACAGGCAAGCACTGAGAGGACAGCCCTGTGAGGCCCCTTGGTATAAATGTTGGTATGAGGTTTGAGTAACCATGGTTACAACCTCGGTCCTGGCGGAGCATCAAAAGTCTTCCTTTAAACTTTTTCAAGCCATCAGGAGACATGAAGTTGGCTGAGCAGGGGTAACCATGGCTCTCACTAAAAAGCTTTAATTTATAAAAGGAGAATAAAAATATAAAAACAAACCAAAAAAAAGGGAAAAGTTAATGTTCTGCGTATGTAGTTAAATTTCAGCAAAGCCCATGTTAGCGGTCAATAAAGAATAGAGGGAGGGGCACTTCCTACTTACACAGCAGGTGACAGGGGTGTGGCCTCAGGCAGGGCAGGGCAGTGCAGTGGCGAGAGCGCAGCCTAGCCGTAGCGTAGCCTGGCCTTAGCACAGTCAAGCTTAAGCAAAGCTTTAGCCGCAGCGTAGACTAGCCGTAGCGAGGTAGCGTAGGCTCAAGGCTGCGCTAGTCCTCGCCAAGCTTCTGTAATGTCGCAGCAGCAGCAGCAGCAGCACAAGCACATGGAACAGGCTGAGAGACACTCAAAGCATCATGGGTAGGACAGGGGGAAGGGGTCAAAGGTGAGGAGAGAAAGGTGAGAAGACAGAGCAAGGTGTCTGAGAGAGCAAAGGGAAGGGAAAAGGGTTATTTGAAGGTTTAGTAGACACAGAGGAGGAGCTCTATTGTCCAAATATCCCCCAACATCTAATATGATTGGTGCCATCAAGAAGTTCAACGTGAAGTAATGAGTTTATTTCCCCCACATCACCAAAAACTAGACCACATCATCAATAAACATTTAGTCTGATGTAAAGTTAACCAACCAGTCTAAAGAATTAGAAAAAGAGCCAACTATGATTACATTTGTCTGTATTTTATGACCATTTGAACTGACCAGGAGGTGAACTTCTTGCATCCTGACCTATTAGATTCAGCTCTGCGTGCTCTGAACTAACCACCTCCGTATAATGTTTCAGTTTCCCAAATTTTGCTGAACAGTTTTTTTCCCAACGTTTGCCAGGAGAACTGAAGGGATATTTGACGAACAGAGCAGTCTATAGGATGTGTGAGGTGCAGTGGCAGCTGGACAGACTGACAGAGACGGACAGACAGATGAAGCAGACACAAGGACCACAGCTCTTTGCTTTCTGTGCCAATCAAATCAACACCTTTAATAAAGCTTATAGGTACCAAACTGCAATACAACTTTATGAAAAAATCTCACAATTCACACAAATTTTCAATGTACAAATGCTACAAAAAACGGTTTGCAATCCAGGCAATATAAAAACACCACAGAAATAAGTAAACTCTTTAAAAAAAAAAGGCAACTTTGCAGAGAAGCCAGCAGCAAGAGAGGTAGGGATGGTCGAGCTAAAGCACAGTCTGAAAACAGCTGCCCTAGCGAAACGCAAACAAAGACACAAGCTGTGACGAGGCTCAAAGACACATTGTTTTGTCTGACTCAACAGCGAGGGGCGAGGGGCTGTAAGATTCGGTCAGTAACCTTGGTCGAAGGAGTCATCAGAGGAGCTGAGGCCTGCTTCCTCCAGCAGCAGGGATAAGTGCTTGTGTTTCTTCTTCTGAGACTTCTGACTGGACAGCAGGGATGTCGGCGACGATGCGGACCGTCTCTTCCTGGTCAAGTTGCCATGGGAACGCGTCCCTGAGAGAGGGGGCCAGCCCCCTCGAGCAGAATTGTGCTCCTCTGAATCTGAGTCTGGTGCAGAGAAAGTGTGGTTAATGATACATGAAACAAAGTTCTGCTTGACCTCAGCATCACAACCGGAGAGGGATCTGCAAGGACTCTTCAAACTAAACCTACATTTATACTATACATTCTTTTATTATTGAATTGGCTACAGTAAACAGGTTTGATCCTGTTAAACAACTGACCACTGACAAGGGTTCTACGACTACCATGAAATAGTTGTTCAATGCCACCAAGCCTGTGCAGTGCGCTGGTCTCAGGAGGATGAGTCACATGCATCTTTTAGTCTATGACTCATCCTCAGGTTAGATGAGGAACTACTATACATACAACTAGATAAGTGTTAAGTGTGAGCTATAACACATTTATCACTTAACTAACCTGTGAGTCAGTTTTTAAAAGAATAAGTCAGCCGTAAATATATTTTTCAACAAATCCCATGAAAAGACCAAAACCCACAATGTGCTAGTCTGTCCCTCAATATTTTCCAGCTTCCCTACCCTTTTAGTGTCCATTTGTTTCTACTGAGGGTGTAAAATCTCATAAAACTGGTTGGAAATATCTACTTTTTAAAGCTGTAGTACTTTCTGAGCTGTAGTTTTTAGCAAATATTACGCAAATGGGAGGAAATGGCATTTGTTAGGGACGACTATTCTCAGTGGTGGATGAAAACACATTTGGTGCTCTAGTGGGTATTTAAGGCAACAGGATGAGGTATGTGGTACTGAGTCAAAATAAACCACAGGGCGTCATAGTATTGAAGGAACATGTCAGCCAGTGCTTCAGAGCGGCTCACTGATGTGTTTTTAATAGTTTATGGACTACAACGCAGCTCTATGGCACAGATGAATAAGATACCTCAGGCTTTTGATACACAGACAGCACTTGTTAGAAGGATCAGATCATTGTAGGTCTTTTCATGGAATCTGTTGACAAGATGCACTTTGACAAAATGATCGATGATGTCCACTTTAAAACTAGTAAGTAGATGTTAAGTTGAGATTATTTTGTCAAACTAATGTTGGCAACGTCTAAAATAAAACTTTCCCGCTCAAGAGAAACCAAGAATAGTGCGTGCCTTGTCACTTTGAATGTAAATGTTATGCAGAAACAGACACACTCTGCTGCCTGTAACTCTAGATGCATATAAAGCAGTTAAGTCAGATTTCCCGTCTCGAGGTACTCACTGTTGGAGCAGCTGCTGAGCTCTGATCTCATGGGAGAAAACAAAGCAGTCTTCTTCTGACCTTTCACCTTCCGGACGGTCTCCGAAGCAGAAGTCTTGGCAGCCATCTTGTGCTTGCCTCCTTTGGCAGATGAGTGGATGCCGCGCTCCTTCATCCTACCATCCCCAGAATTGGCCTTTGATTTGTCCAATTTAGAGTTAGAGGCAAGTTTGCGAGATGCCCCGAGTGAGCTGAGCTGCGAAAGCGAAAGCGCTCTGTCGAGGTCCGACGCCAGCTGCTCCTGCTCACAAACGTGGCCACGCTTCGCCTTCAACACCTGACAACAACAGAGAAACACCTTGTTAATGACAAGGGCACAACGCTGCAGGCAAAATCAAGACATGTCCTTTCAAAAGGCCTACCTCCAGAGCATGACTGGTAGATGGCTCCTGGTCATTCCAGCTCTTCTTCTTTTTTTTCTTCTTTTTCACCTTCACTCCTCCACTTCCTGCCTCAGTCTCGTCGTCTTCTCTGGACACCCTGAACCTCTTCCTCTGTCCATCCCCAGCTTCAGAGTCCTCAGAGTATTGCACTGTCCTACCCACCCTGAGACATCAGAATATTTGCACTGTATGTATCCGCATTTAAAACCAAACACAGAAAAACATGAAAAAATTGGCAAAAACTGGAGATCTCACTCACTTTCCAGGCCTGCTGTCCAGTTTGGGAGGTGTAGTCAAGTGTTTCCTCTTCCTGGGTCGCCCTCTGCCCCGTCTGGTCAGACTCCGCCTCTCATCCTCCTGCTGCTGCCGCTCACTGACACATGCATAAAAGAGTTATATTTCATGTGCTTGTGTCTGGGGTGGAGATGTGGGAACATTGTTTTGTAGGTGTGTATCGATGTATAATAATAACAGCAGCAGTGTGAGTAATTCATGTTGTATGTAGTTCTCACAGTAAGTATGTGTGGCTGTGTGAAATAACACTCACCGCTTGTCTCGGCGTCTCTGCAGCTTGCTCAAATCTCTCTGCTTCTCCTTGTACGTTTTCTGCAGCTCAGCCAGGCGAACACGGTATTCCACTTCCACTGCATCAAGCACGTCCACAGACATTTTACTGTACAGCTGCAGGGGACAGAGAGAAGTGTCATAACATTTCACACACTGGCCCATTATTTATCCCTGGGTGACCATGACATTTGTCTTCGTCTTACCGGCTCCTCCTTCCTCTGCCTCCAGCTGTACTTCTTGTCGGGGTCCAGCGTTCTGGGCAGATCAATGTGGGACTGTTTCTCGATGGCCTCCAACAAAATCTGTCTGCTTGCTTCAAGAAGACAGTCTAGACCCTCTAATGTCAGATCTAAATGGGATGAATTAGCATTAGAGTTTATTCTTATCTTTTTTAATTTAATTTAATTATTCTCCTTATTTTCCCACCTCTCATCCCCTCATATCTACACACCTTGCTCCAGGCTGATGTGCTCCATCTCCTGCTGAGCCATTTGGCTAAGCAGGGCCATCCCCTCCAGTGCCACCATCTCCAGAGCACCAGCGCTGCTGCAGTCTGCGCCCACGGGAGGGTTTTCTGTCTGTGGTATGAGCGTTGGGGCGGGTGGGGTGCACGGCCGAGCCTGGGCTATCTCACTGGCTGCAAGTAGAGCGAGCATCCCCGCCATGGGATCCTCGGGACCGATGACCAGCGGTAGCGGCGAGTTGGAGGTGGGAGGAGGATAAACGGGAGTTTCTGTGACACTTTCTTTCTGACTGGAAGTGAGCGAGGGAGCATCTAGCTGTTCTTGTTCACACACAGCGCTGGTGATTTGCTCTAGTGACGTACACATCTGAGCTGATTCCTGCCGGTCTGGATCTGCAGTGATGACCGATGAATATCGCTCTGGATCCTTGATGACCTCCGTTTTAGGCTCGGCTTCTGTGAGTGAAGGAGGCAGGGGATATGCAGCCTGACAGGAGAAGGTTGACACCTCCATTTTGATTTGCCCTCCTTTCTTCTCTTCCCCCCTGATTTCTTCCAGCCTTTCGCTTTGTTGCGGTGGAGGGCTGGAGACATGAAGAGGTAGTGGTTGAGGCTTGGGCTTCGAGGTTTCCCTGTCTCCCTCTCTGTCCTGGCTAACTAGCACAGGGGTGCAGCTCCGGCGAAGGGGACCCAGAGGTTCTGGCGTCATGTTATGCTGAGGCTGTTCCACACCGGGTTCCTGCTTGAGAAAAGAGCCTGTCTTTGACGACTCTAGTTTCTGTGGCTTGATGTCTGCTTCCAGGAGGTGCCGGTGGGCTGAGGGCACAGGGGCAGCAGAGGCAGGAGAATGGGAGCGGCGGGGGGGGACAACTTCTGTGTTTGCCCCTGTGGGTGCTGGGATGCGATATGAGGGGAAAGGTGAGCCAAATGGGGCAGTGATGGACTGGTAAGGGTAACCCGGAGGGAGATCTGTCACAACAGTAAAGCAAAAATACAGTCATTATTCAAAGTATTAATAATTTAGTTACAAAAACACTACATCTGTAAACAATAAAAGTCTCTCTAACTTCAGGAGTTAAGTCAGCATGAGTGAGCAGCTGATGTTTTTAGTTGTTCTCACCAGAGTAGATGCCTTGAAAGGGTGCAGAGGCTGGTTTCTGTCCCGATCTCTGCTCCCTCCGTCCCACCTCCCCCTCTTCAGCTGCCTCCTGTTTAGGCCGCCGTGGCGAGGATGGGGGCGGGGAAGCCGACCGGGGGGACGGCGGATGAGGCAGGGGTGTCGGTGGGTGAGACAACACTCTCTGCCCACCATCCTCTGACTTGAGGGTGGTCACCGGTGAGGGCAGCGGAGGCAGCGGGGTGAGGGAGGAGGTAGACGGGGTTGGAGAGCGAGAGTGAGGGGGAGGTTTGCGGGGGTGCAGGATGGGTGACGGAGATGGGGAAGATATAGAGGAGGGGCGGGGTTTGGAGTCTGTGTTCCGCTTGTCTGCTTTTTCTTCCATCTCTGGCCGATGCTCACTGGCCTTTAAACGCTCCTGAAACACAGCGGAGGAGTGTGTGGTGGCATTGTTTAGACTTCCTTGACTGTATTCTTAACTGCAGCTGCAGGATGTGGTGTGTACATGGCTGCTTATTGAATGTGTTCTACAAATGTGTTTTGTTATAAAAATGTGCAACGGGAGTACATCATCTCTGAGTTCTATGTATCACCATATACTCTATACATGTATTATTATTAAACAAATTTCATGAAAAGACCAAAACCAACAATTTTCTAGAATTTCCTACTAAGTTGGTTACATATTGTGTCCTCCGTGCAATAGAGCTTCAGTGTTGTCTAAAAACTATTAAAAACTCATAAGTGAGCCACACGGTTGCACTGGATGACCTTTATTACAATTAACATGTGTACTGTGGTTTATTTTAAGACACTTTCCTGCTGCCTTGCATGTGCACAAGAGCACCAAATGAGTATACATCAACAGCTGAAAGTAGTCCCTTACAAATACACTATTTAATCATGCTTGAGCAACTTTTGCTAAAAACTACAGTGGGCAGCTGAGTGGAGCCTTTTTTCCCTTCAAGTAAAAAAAAATATATTTGTGACACATTTTTAATTATTTAATGGTGCTATCCATTTGTCTCGTGAACTCGGAGCCCGAGTTGTTCTGCCGCGAGAACGTGACGTCATTGCCTGGCTTGTACCACTTATAGCGTTCCATTTGTCTTTACATAGACATTACGAGTTGGAAAGAAGTGCGGCAGCTGTGTTGTTATTGCTTGTGGCTCATCTAAACAAGCTTAATGTGAAATAACAATAATGTTTTTCTACAGAAACACTAACATTTCAAGTATTTCCGTTATTACAAGTCTTACATTTCAATAATATTTTGCCATTTCGCCTGTTTCAATTTCAACAAGTGCTGTGGCGTTTCTCTCAAGCCACCAAGGGCCACCAAGGGCCACCAGGGGCCACCAGGGGCAGTGGCAGGCTAGTGTTATTGTTAGCTACATTAGCCTATTTAGCAAACCAGCTCGAAAACAAAACTTTACATTGTATTGCACGCACAGCAACACCGTGCAATGCATAAATTGGTGACCGGCCTAAAGCAGCAATGTAAACAAGTGTGTAGGAGCATTTAAAATCGACATTAAAACGACCAACGTAGTACAAATACAAAGAAAATACATCTTAATATGGGCGCTGCCATCTTTGTTTTGCGGGTCGTACGTGCCCCCCCGTTTAGCTCGGTGTACTCTGAGGTACCCCGAGCTGGACAGCTGAAATTCCGACCAAAGGGGGGTGTGTCTCGGTGAAATGTCGCAAGATTGCTGCGAGATTTACACTTTCCAACTCAGGTTCCGAGTTCACGAGACAAAAGGATAGCACCATAAGTGTTCAGTAGACCAGTGTGGGTTTGGGTAGGGAAGTCTGATAGTATAGAGATATTGGTGCATTGTTGGTTTTCATCTTTTTGTGTGATTTGTTGTGGTAAATACAGAATATTCACTATATCCGGTTTTGCAGTAACTCTTCATGCTGTTGAATAATGTGTGTTTTTGTTCGCATGCAATATTATCTGTTTCGCTTTGAGCTCTCCTCTACAGAGCCATCACCTATGTGTGTATCGTTTGTGTGTTGGACACTAACATTATGCCCACACAAGTCTCAAATAGCTGCAGGACTGCTGTGTTTCATGTTTGTGCAATTTCATACATGTGTACTGAACAACACAAGTCCACTTACCACTAGCTGTGCGTTCCTCTGCAGCTCCAGGACCTGTGCTGTGTGCTGCTGGATCATGAGTAGCTCCTGTTGCCGGAGCATCTGCTGCTGGGAGAGGAGCTGGAGCTGGGCTGCGTGCTGCAGCGAGCTGCCTGTACCGTATACACCTGACCACACCGGGCCTCCTCGCTCCAGTACCTCACCTCCTGCAGAGCAATGGAGGAGGGCATGAGGAAGACAGTGAACTATCAATTCAAACTGGATGTTGTTTATGTAGCATTCTTTTGTATATAAATTGTTGTGTTAAAGGTAAAGAAACAGAGAAATATTTGACAGCATTATTATTGGTTCATTTCTAAAAATGTGGACTTCAAATACAGGACATCTCTACTTACAACATCCACCTTCTATTGCAGTAATTTGATTATATAAAAAGATTTTAACTGTTACCCATTACTTTTACCTTACTATTTCAAATTTTCCATTACTTTTATTCTGATTTCTCTACAATCTTTCCCTGTAGAAACAACTATAGAAGTACCACCTTCTTGCACAGAAGAGGATAATAATTTTTAACGTTCACAGCACTCTCCTCACTACTGGCACACAGTCCACTATAACATATGGAGGCTATCAATATTGTCGGATATGATCTTATTTGTTTACCATAATTACAAATACCAACATCTGTTTCAAAATGAACAAGGTAATTATTATTTTTGCTAAAATGCAACAAACTGTAACAACATAATGTAGTTACTTAGTTACGATTTTCATATGTGCATGCACACAGAAACATACACAGAGAGAGAGAGGGGCTTTCATACCGTAGTGTTGCAGGTGTTCAGTGGGGATGACTAGTAGCTGTCCAGACTGTGGGTCCCTGGCAAACTGGTAGGGAGGGGGCATGGAGCCTTGCAGAGAGGGTGGGTAGCCTGGGGGGAGGGACTGGTGGAGTGAGGAAGGACCCAGGCCTGAATGGGAGGGTAGGGAAATAAATAAGGTGAAAAGAAAAAGGAAAAGTATGAAAAATGTTAGACTGAGAAAGCAAGTCCAAAAAAACTCAGCTAAGTTGAATCTAACTTTTATTGATAATCATTCTTCACCCAGTATTTCTACCCATGTTGAAGCCATAAAGGAGCTATATCAGTGAGCACACACTGAATTTAGCTTTCTTTGTGAGACTGTTGTTTTGCCCTCTGTGTCTAGACAGAGCTGGTCCCTTGGGGAGTGCTGTGTACATGTGTGTTTCCATATTCTAAGATGTTGTGTGTGTACAGTTATGTGTAAGCTAACATAAGTATGCAAGTATCTTGATGCTGTTATTTCTGGACCTGCAAAGATCAAGAATGTCTGAGGAACTTGACCCCTGGAGGCTGCTACTGGACGAACCAATTGACAGACAGACAACACCTCCCTTTTCTGTTACACCAATCAGAAAAGACTACACAGGCTTATGTAGAATTTTGCATGCGTGCCACGTGGTTTTGAACTGATTTAGACTCTTTAGCACAAGGTTGGATAACTCTGATGACAAGAGTACGACATGAATGGTCAGTGAGAAGGGCAAGAGCTGCTGCTTCATATTGCACACTGAAAACTGCTGTACAACTAATGCTTTCTGTGGCATGCTGCTGTACCTGTCCACATCTGGCAGTCTACCTTAGCAGACATATGAAGTGGCAGCTCACATTTAGACATGGAGGGTCATTCATCTCCAACATCAGAATCTTTCAACTTTGTCATGAATTGTGCCAGTAAATTACAGCTAATAAAACGTATGTATGTATGTATGTATGTAGTTTTCCAGAGCTCACGGTGATGTCTTAATGTTGTTTTTTCTATCCAATAGTCCAAAACACATAGATATTCAGATTATTATCACATAGAAAAAAGAAAAGCAGTGAATCTTCACACAGAGAACTGTTTATCAAAATTGGTACAGATTAATTTTTGGTGATCAACAAAACAAGCCATAATTTCAGCTCTAAAGAACATCAAGTCACTTTTCTCCTGATATAAGCCGGGACATTCTTGAAGTCACTAAATACATGCCTGACTTCAGCCATTATATAAAGAAGGAATTTTAAGAACATCTAAACATGTGCTTGTAGCAGTTAGAGAGTGTCTCCAGTCACACGTTTGTCTACATACTGTATGGTGAGCTGGAGAGCCAGACTGGGGGGGCTCCAGGCCTGGGCATCCAGGGGTGAGAGGTCAGAGTTGAGGGGTCGGGAGGCCATCTCCCTGCTCCTGCCAGGGCAGCCCCTCCTGTCACCATAAGGTTGGGGGTCATGAGGCTGGGTGTCATCATACTGGGTGTCAGGCCGCTAGACAGGGGGGCAGGGTGCATCTGAGTAAAGTCTGTCAGCTCTTTGGGCTCTCTGGAAGGAACCAAGACACATTTTTGTTTAATACCACATGTTTAGAAGTAGACTGTGTATTGAGGGCATATTTTTTGCCACAGTTTAGGTTGGCAATCGTTTAATTTTGGATTAAAAGGATAAAGCCACACCCCCTTTACCTGAGCGCTTTATCCTGCTCGCGCTCCAGCCGGCTGGCCAGCAGTCTGTCCTCATGGTGGCGAGCACGCTCCTCTGCTCGCTCCTCATCTATGAGGGGTTCAGGTACAGAGGGAGAAAAAAAGATTAGATAATAATGCTCAGTAGCATCATCACTGAGGTTCCTTGAATGTTTAATCTCTGATCCCACATGTAACATACATTACAGAAAGGGACACACGCTGTGAAGGAATGCATTCTGGAGGGTGAAGAGCAATACTGGAAAGATATGTGGTGAGAAGAGGGGGAAAAAAAAGGGTGACAGCAGAGGAGAGAGGGGGAGAAGACAAGGTGACACTGGCTATATAATGATGACACGACACAGCATGTCAAAACGAGAGGAGAAGCTAAAAATACGATGTTGGGCCACAGCCTGAACACAAAGAGCGTGTGCACACATACTGTACAAACACACACACATAAACTGAGTGACAGCTCTCACTCTGAGTGTCAGCTCTTATCAGTTATTAGTCTAGTGCCACAAGAGACGTGTGAACATGCCACTACTGCCTTACCACACACACACACACACACACACACACACACACACACACACACACACACACACACACACACACACACACACACACACACACACACACACACACACACACACACACACACACACACACACTTAAACCCATCCTGCTTACTATGGAGGGCCAACGGCAAAAGACAGAGATGGAGAGCAAAAAAAGGAAAAGGGAAAGAAGGGAAGCAGCAGCACTCAGCCAAGCAATCCAGAATAAACATGAGGATCTCCTCTTTGCACTCTTTCCCGTTAACCCTCCTCCATCCCATCCACGCTGACTGAAGGTCCCCGAGCAGCAGAGAGGTTTTATACAAGTGTGCTGAACCCTTCAGTTCTGCTCTAGAAGTGTGTGCATGTGTGTGTGTAGCCCGTAAAAGGGACAAGAGACTTTAACAAACCCTGACATGCTCCGCAGGAAAGGTTTCAAGACTGTTACCAAGGTTACAGGGAGCCTGTCCCACATGCTATCCTCTCTGCATCAGAAAGCCAGCGATTAGCACTGCACGCCCCCTTTCTCCCCATTCCTCCATCGCCGATGCTCCCTGCTCCCTTCACACTCTCTTTCCACTTGTTTACTTCCTGACATACCTCTCTCTTTCCCGTCTATCAACCTATCGATCTACGTCCACCTCTTATCATTAGCCTATCCTCCTCCTTCTTCTTCCTGCTTGCCTGCATCAACCCATCCATTCATCCATCTATTTGTGTTCTGCGTAAAAATCCTCCGCTGTTTATTTAGAGCTCTCCTTAGCGTGAGGGACTGATGCTATTAGACCAATCACTCTGCTCGAGCAAAGGATGAATCAACACCCCCAACAGGGATGCACGCACACGCACACACACACACACACACACACACACACACAGAATTCCTCACGCACAGTCCGTCACTCTCAAGACTGATCCATTGCTTAGCAACGCACCCATGGTCTTATTGTAATTCAAGGCTTGTTTGTAGCTTTTAGCTGCACTCTGTAATGACATGTTTAATGCAGAGAGGGTGGAGGTGGGGTGGGGAGGTGGAGCTGAAGAAAAGAGTGGAGAATGAGCAGGGGGCCTGAGGTGGGACAAGGAGGGAGTGCCGCTATACAGAGACCTTCTCAGAGAGTAAGGAACAGTGGGGAAAGAGAGAAACATTCAACCAAATGAAAAGCGCAAGAGACCGAGAGAGAGAGACAGAGAGGGGAACTGTGGGAGGACAGAGAGAAAAACAGAAACAAGAAGACAGAGTTGGAGAAGGAGCACTGTAGCTGAATGACCTTGACGTACAAGAATAGAGCGCTGTATGGCAGTAACCGCTATGCAGCGCTGAGAGCCAGCACATTCACCCCAAAAGAGAGCCATTCAACAAAATACAACTCATGACATCATTAGTCATTTGGGATGTTGTTTTTACCATTCGAATCACGTTACATGCATGAACACCTCAAAGTCAAACGGGGCTGAGGAAACATGACTTTGATCCAAAAGAAAATGAATCCTCTATTATTCATGGAAACCAAAATGAGGAGTCATTTGCTCTCGGTTCATTTAACTAAGGGGATCTACATTCCCTACAGTGTGATTTTGAGAAAAGACACAGCAGAGAGAGTTGAAAGCAAAAGTGCCAGAAAATACATTAGAAAAATGTTTCAAATAAAGGAAGTACACTTGATTTAACTTGCCAGAAACTATAAAATATAAAATTACTTGTGTGATTGAGTGAACGTCACCACATGACTCCTGGCAAGTATTTCAAGCCTATATCCAACTAAAATGCTGATAAAACTGTTCTTTTCATACATCAGAAATTAATAATTTTTCAGTTTCATTCGCACCTCTACCATTCATCTATGGAATACGATAAAAAAAAAGATTGTACTACATGGGTTAGCAGCATGCAGCACAGGAAAACACATCTTAAAAAAGGACCAGTGTGTAGGATTCAGTGGCATCTGCTGTAGCTGGCAGATACACCGCTTCAACCTCCGTTTCAAAGAGCAAAACTACAGTGGACATGAAACGTACCGAAATCGCAAACTGCCCTATTTAGAGTCAGTGTTCGGTTTGTCTCTTCAGGTAGAAACATGGCAGTTCAACATGGCAGACTCCATGAAAGGTGAACCAAGGTGTTTGTAGATAACAAAGGCTCATTCTAGGCTAACAAAAACATGCAAATTATTTATATGGTGAATTATACACTAATGAAAACATACTTATGACTATTATATTCCATATTCCAGGCCAACAGATCCTCAAAAATGTTACACACTGGACCTTTAAATGATGACGAGGCATTAAAAACTGTGTTTAGCAGTAGACCAGTGAGTTCATCTTACATGAAGGACATCGTTACCTTTAATAGCAGTTTGCAGCAGGGTTCTCTGTGTGTCTGAAGGTCCACTGGGCTGTTTACTGGCGCTCCCACTGTCTCTCTGCCGGGCCACGGCGACAGCAATGCCGACTGGGGGGTGGCGGACCTCCCCCTCCCCCTCCCGGCCAAACGAGCGGGCGCTGTCTGGCCGCTCCTGCTCCCTCTTCAGCTGGGGAGGCATTCTCAAGGCCCCTGAAGCACCCGGTCCAACCGATACCCTTTCCCTCTCTCTCTCCCTCTCCCTGTCTCTGTCTTTTTCCCTTTCTCTTTCCCGCTCTCTCTCTTTTTCCCTCTCAGCTTCGGACACAATGTTACCCAGACCCCCAAAGGGCCCTCGTCCATCAGCGGCGTGCCTGGAGGACCCAGGGCCCTCAGCAGCAAAGTTTCCACTGTATTTGATCAGACTCTGCATGGCTGAAACCTCTGTGGGATCCGAACACGCTCCACCGCCTCGCTCCCCACCACTGGACCCTCCTGCCAGTGACCCCCCAGGTCGGTAGAGCGCTGATGGGTCCAGGTAGCGTCTCTGACTCCCCTCCTCACCTGCATGCCCGTGTCCGTGTTGGGAGGGGTGTGTCTGGGGGGAATGGCTGTGGGCGGAGTGCGGGTTGTTGCTGGACCGGTGGGTTGTGTGAGGGGAATGGGACATTTGTGTGTGTGTCTGCTGGCTGTGGGGAGAGGAGAGTGTGTGTCCGTGTTGAGCTGCCAGAGCAGCCATGTGACTTGTGGCATAGTTGGCTAATGGGCTGATAGTATTCCACTTAGGCTCCGCCCCTGCCCGTTCTATACCCAATCGAAGTGAGTGTTTAGGGATGTCCCTGGTTTCCGGGCTGAACCTTGATTGACTAGAGGAGTAAGAAGGGTCCTGTCCTCGTTTACCAATGGAACCATTGGAACAAATGACAGAACCTTCTTCTCTTTGATTGTTTGAATCGCCAGACTGGGAGAGTCGTGGATGCTCCATCAGGCTCCTCTCAGGAAACCTGTAGCTCTCCCTCTCTCTGTTTCTGTCCCGCTCTCGCTCTCTGTCTCTTTCTCGTTCCCTTTCTCTGTCTCTGTCTCTGTCTCTTTCTCTTTCTCTGTGTTTTTCACCGTGTTTGTCGCGGGCCTGTGAGGCGATTTGGATGGGCCCGGTCCGCTCGTCGTAAACCTCCACAGAAGGCACATATGTCGGCGCACTGACTCGCTGCTCTCTGCTAGACTCTCTGGGTGTGGAGGTGTGGGGCGGGGCGGGAGCGGAGGGCTGCAGCGCAGGAGGATGGGCGTACGAGATGTGGAGGGTCCCAGCTGACGCAGCCACAGAGTCATTCCTCCTTTGTCTGTCTGAGTGAGAGTTTGAGTTATTCGAGTTAGCGTTAGAGTTATGGTTGTGGTGGGGTCGAGAGCCTCCCTCTTCATCCCGACCCCCTCTGTCTGTTTCTGGTCCATGAAACCTGCCCCCACTACCACCACTCCCTGAAGGGAAGGAAGGCCGTGGAGGCGACGGCCTGGGTCTGGGCTCCGCTGTGGAAGGCTGGGAGTGTGACTTCTGCTGCTGGTGGTGGTGATGGTGGTGGTGGTGAGGATGGAAGGACCAAATATCTCTTTCCGTGTCCCGGTCCCTTTCTTTCTCCCGTTCCCGGTCGCCGCTCCTTGCCCTGCGCTCCTCCTCACTCCTCCCGTCCTGTGTCAGATCTACCACGCTGTGAGGCCTCTGCTCCTCTCTCGACCGCTCTCTCTCCCTCTCTGCACGGTAATGCCGCTCCCTACCCCCATCCCGGGACGTCCTCTGTGGGGGTGTGGAGCTGGACGGGGCGGCTGGGGGAGCAGATGGAGGGTGGAGAGGCAACTGGCTCAGGGAGGCTGGCAGGTAAAAGCCCTCTAAAGAGACACAAATCATACAACACGTGAGTCTAAAAACACACATACACCCACAGGCAGAGGTGAGCATAATTAATATTTAAACGTCGACTTGCCAAGAAAATGTAACAGTTACATAAAGCTACAGTAGATCTAAAGCAGCCATATGAAGAAGAGCAGAAGTAATATACATTATACTAAAATTGGTCCTCCTGTTAGCCAAATGTTGCCCATTTCTGACTGGAGGTTTGGCCCAGTTCCACAACAAACTACAAGTCTTCTCACTAAATAAAAAAGCTTGACACAAAACCTACTTCCCCTCATGTATCACAGGACAGGAGAGAATGTGGACACTAAATTCAGCCACTTGTTTCCATGAATGTTGCTGGTGACAGCAACTGACCTTTATGTGAGTCGTAGAGAGGGTGCTGGGAGAGCGAGGGAGGATCCAGGTGCCCCAGGGACAGGTAGGGGCTGGAGTACAGGCTGCTTGGCAGAGGAGGGTAGCCTGAAGCCAAAGACACAAACACAGAACATGTCATTTAATGTTTACACAAACCTGCAACTATGCAATAACGTATTCTCAAGCGACATCATGTAAATATCAAGGCTCCCTTGAAATGTTCATGAGAACCATTTGGAGCTACTGAACAACCCCTGTAGACGAGGATTTAAAAGCTGTAATGAGTCGACTTGCAGAAAAGTAACCGCAAACTACATCAGCTTCTCATATGTGAGGATTTGCTGTAACATTTACAATGTATTTGAAATATATTTCGAGTGACGGAGAAACTGGTCGGGAAAAACAAGACACTTAACTTGATTTTTATATTTGATAGACCATGAGAAAATAATGCTTGATCAATAATCAAAATAATCCTTGGTTGCAGTAATGTTACATCCACCTGAAGTTAATGAGTAACTTTAACATAACCATAAACAATGGATGAGGAAGGATTGCAGATTGTTGCATTATTCTGCACTTTTTTGACGGACTCGGGGAGACGGGAGCTGACTGATCAGTCCGACTGCTTTTCTGCCGACGGTTGGCCGTCGGGTTGGTGTGTCCTGGCCTTTACACCTAGCTAAAATCACGTCACTGAATTTTCTTTTTTTTATGCCTTTGTTTGATAGGACAGGTTAAGATAGGCAGGAATCAAACCTGGGCGGCTGTGGTAAGGACTCAGCTTATTTGGGGGCTCTACCAGGTGAGCTACCACGCATTACTCTAACAAGTCTAGCAGACAACAGCTCTACTTTAGACTGGTCAAGAGATTTGAGCAAAACCAAATCTGACCACATTTAAATCATATTAAACTTTGTACACCAACGTTTTCGTTTGCGAGTTGAGGTTGATGTTGGGCGGGAGTCTGCCCGACTGCCAGCTGCCGCTCTCAGAGACTAAATCTTAATATAGCAAAGCTCAACGCCTGGTGTAATGCTTTAGATTTCTGTATTAGCAGGGAGCTGCAACTCTAACACTGGCTGGTGTCACTGTGTCAGGCCACATGTAATAAAAGAAAAACTAAGGAAAAAAGATTGCCACCCAGAGAGGGTGAGACATTCCCCGTTCCCACACTCTGGCCATTCCAAGATATATAAAAGACGCCGCTGCCATTCCAGCACAGAGCGCCCGGGAGTGGAGCCCAAGTATAAATCTGTCTCCTCTCCGTTTTGAGAGGCAGAAATGGAGAAGTCAGAGGAGGCGAGTGGTGAGGGTGTCAGCGGGTAGGGGAAAGCACAGGGAGACAGAAATATAAAAGGAATGATGTGACGAGAATAAAGGCATGCGGGATGGGTTTCTTGCAAAGCTTCCTTTGACTACAGCTAACAGCTAACCTTGATCTCTAACAGCTTTGATACGGGTTTCCTGTGCAGCTACGGTGCATCCCAGGCATATCCAAAGTCTGCCTCTTAGCTTCTGCCCCAGAAACGTCTCCAGCTTTTAGTAACTTTAGCTGCTATTAAGAATCCTTCTTAGGTCGTGAAGATTTCTATTCATATCAGAGCAAGTGGATTCTATGGCTTCTTTAGCAAGCAGGAGCTTTTAGTTTCTCTAGCTTCAGATACTAAAGCCTCAATTCAGGCTAAACTTTAAGTCAAGTGTTAAAAGTCCATCCATCCTTTATCCTCCTTTGGCTGACTGTCGAGTCGAGCAAGGTGTGTTTTGCCAGGTTCTGACACTGGGCCAGCAGATGGGCCAGTAATCGACTTGTGTATAATTTTAAAGGCATATTGTTTAGTTTCATAAATACAAAGTTTTTGATACCCTTTTTCTGCAATAGCCATTCAACATATTTACATTCTGTAATTACCTCTCAATATAGTAGTTTTATTTGTCAGTGGTGGAGTCTGCCATTCCTGTGCTGGATTCAGTTTGCCTTTACACACAGAGGGGTTTTATAGAAAACAAGGTATGAATGTAATTGACCGTTACATAATAGGAATAGTACGAAATAGTTATGAATCTCTAAAAATATATAAAAGCCAGCCATCTTTTAGCGTAGCTTATCATAAGGAATAGAAACAAGCTCGAAACAGCTAGCCTAGCTCTGTCTAATGTTAACAAAATGCACCTACAAGCACCTTTAAAAGGACACTACTTAACACATTATAGCTTGTTTGTTTAATCTGAACAAAATCCAAAGTGTAAAAACAAAATTGTGCCGTTTTTTGGTGGCTTATGTGCCGGGCTATTCTTGGCTCTGAGTGGTTGCCAGGGAACCAGAAGACATGAATGTTCAGACTATTGCCTATAATCATAGGTGCAATCACATGCCAGTGCCGCCCCCTTTTTCTTTTTTTTAACTAATCACACAATCTGATTTGCTGGGTTTGGAAAAGCACCACACAAGATCTGTGTCACACAGGCGATGCAATCAGTTTAAAAATGAATCCTAAATAGAATCTGTTCGTCCTTCTCCCTGTACCGTGCCAAAACGCAGGACGGGATATGTTTCCTCCTATCTGACCTTCTACTCCAGCGAGATTTGATAAGGAGACACAAAAGGACGGGAGGGAATGAGGAGGAAACAGAGATTCAATCACTTACAGAGCAGGCTTTAAGAAGAGCACAGAGACAAAGAGGACAGAGAGGTCCAAGGAGAGGACAAAAACACACACACACAGCTTATGAACACAGTTTTAGACACACACACACACACACACACACACACACACACACACACACACACACACACACACACACACACACACACACACACACACACACACACGTGTCTAAAACTGTGTTCATAAGCTAGGTCAGGAGAGAGATGTTGTGGAAAAGTGGGGCAGGAGAGCTAGAGAGAGACAGACAGAGACAAAGTGCATATTGGAGGGGAAGCTCAAAAAAAGAACAAGAGAGAGGAAGATAGATTGCAGTAACGCATGACAGGCGAAAGTAAGAGACAGGTGGAGGACAGACAAAACGCATATAGGACAGAGCCAGGAGCACAACGACCAGCAGAGAGACAGAAATGGAACAGGATCCCACTGGTGTAAGCAATGAGGAACAGAGCTAAAGCCTCCTGGGCTTTGGACAGCAGCGCACTGTGAGAAATGTCATTAATACATGAAGTCGCTTGTGTCTTCAAGGATTTGCATTATGTACTGAAACAGAAAGGGAGGAGAGAGACAGAAAAAGAGAGAGAAAAGAAATAAAGAGTTTTTGAGGTACATTGATTTACCTTCATGAGCGTGTGATGCCCAGAGCTGAGCCATCTGCAGACCGCTGGGATTGGCCGATCTGTACGCAGGGTCAGAGGTCAAGGGGGAGGGGCCCGAATAACCTGAGAGGAAGGGACTGGAGCCGGCCGAGAAGCCATCGCCTGGGAAAAAGAACGAAGACCGTTGGTCACCCTCATAACCAGGAGAACCAAACTAATAAACAACAAAGACCATCGATTTATACTGTACATGCTGTGTGTGTGTGTGTGTGTGTGTGTGTGTGTGTGTATCGATACATGCTGATGGTTCTAAGCTGAAGAAGTCTGTTGTAATCACATTATTACTGAGCCACCACACACACACACACACAGTTTCCACAAGACCGACCACAGACAGACAGCACACACAAGAAAGGGACAGTTAATGTAACCGCCAACTAACAACCACAATCGTCACAGCAGAAGCGAACCGTGTGGGGCAATAACGAGGGCACGCTCTCTTCTGGGAAGCAGTGATTGGACGGGGCATTAAGGCAGTTGCATACTCATTCACTCTTGATAGGTCGAAAATGAAATGTCGTTGCGTCTGGATTTTTATCTTTGGAGCTCCATTTACAGAATTTGGCTATGACTAATCTAATTGACAAAGTGAAAATGATTCTCACCTTTAAACCACTTTCTAATCTAAAATAAATCTATTTGATTTTACATTCTCCAGAGAACAGATCAAATAAACAAAAAAACAACATGCACCCCATTTCCAACAAGTCTTTTTAAATGCCAGTTTATAACAGTGGGGTGGTTTAACATTTATCAGAGTGTACTGTGTGTTTATCTAGTGGACTTAAATCACACACAGGGTCTAATTTAACCACTCATACAGAGGTTAGAGTACAGCCCCGTCTGTGACCTCAGCACTCTGATTTTCTCGATTAATTATGTGGTCGATGAAAGGTCAAAAAATGCTTATCATAACTTCCCAGAGCCAAAGGTGACATCCTCAGTGATCTTGTTTTTTCTGCCTAAAAGTCTAAAACCCAAAGATATTCAGTTTACAATGATATGTGACAAAGAGAGGCAGCGAGCCCTCCAATCTGAGTAACTCAAAACTGGTAATCTGCTAACATAAGGATGTTTACACTACATCTGCTTGAAACTATTAATTGATGGTAATTATAGATTAATCAAGTAATTGTTTGAGCTCTACTTTGTACCTCACTCCATGAGTTGCATATCAGGTATCAGTAGTTCAGAGCACACTGATGTCACACACACTGCCCCATTAAAACCAGTTCCATCATGGGTTTGATTGGCAAAGTAAATCCTCGTGAAACATTTCATATCTCAACATGATGCCGGTATCGATTGTTTTATATTAGACTTGTTTTTTATTAGACTCCACTCCCTGCATGTGTGCAATCTAACCATTAGTAAACTTTGAACCTTTGAACCATTACTGCCTCTTCCAATCACAACCTCCTAAGAGCTGGAAAAGGTTTCATGTTTAGCTGTGGTTTGCCCCCACCCAGCCCATTACTGAACGCACTGCACAGCCATTACCCTGATAAAACTAACCATGTGTGTAGGGGAAAGGGTGCCGTCTGTATATGGGCGAGGGGGAAGGGACTGAGAGTGTGTGTTTCTGTATTAGTCCTGTGGGAATCTGAGAGACATGCTGTGCTTGCTCAGTTTCCCCTGCATCTAAATCAGTACATTAAAACCGCAGTCCGTCAGCACACACACACACACACACACACACACACACACACACTTTTAAATCAATAGCAAATGCAGCTTTCCAATTAATCACAAACAGAGGCATGTACACACATACAGGAGTAATGCAGCGTGCCCTTTATTCTCTGCTCTGAAAAATAAAAACTGTGTAGGTGGATCATTCCTTCCCACACCCAGCCCAGCAGTTTTCTTCATGACTGCATGTGTGTGTGTCTGTGCTGCACATGTGTGCGCTCGGGGTCTCTCTGTGCGCGTAGTTGAAGTGGCTGCACTGCATTGCTGTATGACCACTGACATGTGCAAACAGTTCTGTGTGGGTTTGCAGTGAATGCCCTTTGAGTCAGAGACACTGCGGGAGACACACACACACACACACACACACACACACACACACACACACACACACACACACACACACACACACACACACACACACACACACACACACACACACACACACACACACACACACACACACACACACTCCTGGGAAACATGCAAAACCAACCCCACACGCACAAACACACACAGCCTGTGATTAACCTTCAGTTAGTCTCAGTACATTAACTCTGCTGGAAACACAGCCCCTTGTCCTGTGTGGAGCACTGAAGAGCAGCACAGCGATGAGCTTTACCTCCAAAAAAGGGACAACTTATGGCCCTATCTATTATTCATTATGGCAGAGACAGTCACACACACACACACAAGTGATTATTATCCACGTGTCTCACTGCTATCTACTGCTATGTCCTCTTCATCTGCGTGTTATGCTTCTCCCTTATGCATTGCGAATATCGTTTCACTTCTTAAGTTAAAATCCTTATGACTTCTCTGCTGGCTGATTTGGCAACACTCGTGGATCGCGGCTCCTGCCCGAGAGCAGATTATACAAAGTACACATGATCTTATAACATAGAATATTTGT